CTAAGAGAAAAAGGAGGAAAGCAACATGGCGTCTTAAAAGACACAAGATGGAGTTGGGCTCAAATCGGAGCCAGCCTCTCTCAGAAGAACCAGGCACCCTAATGTTACAATCACTCACACTTGGGGAAGTGGTGGTGGCACCGTCTAATAATCTACGCGAGAAAGCTCGCCAAGACCCACTGCCAGGATATTCGGTCTTGTAAACTGGGACTCCAGGACACGACGAAGGGTAGAATAAGCTTGATTGAAAACCGTAACGCAAGTAGCAAGTAGATATTCAACAGCTGGGCTGGAGACTCTTGAGTGCCATGACTGGCTCCTAAGATAACGGCAGGAAAAGCTACACATAGCTCAAGACCTTTGTGCCATCTGAGAATCAGCTCAACCAAACCACACATGTGGGTTAGCGACGGTGGGGCCTGCATGCCTCGTTACCCCACAAGAGTCATCTCCTGCCCTTCCTGCTCAGAGTGCTAAGAGTGCCTCTCTTCTCCTCTTCCTCTTCCTACCTCCTCTCCCCTCTTCTCTCACTTCCCCTCCCCTTCCAGATACTGGGTACACTTTGGGAAAGGTAATTCCTATTCGCTGTACATTTATTCTATTGCTTTGTGTCCCAGTGGAAAGTGCTTCATTTAAGGAGCTACCCTTGTAAAGGTTAATGTCTTGGAAATAAAAATCTTTACATATGAGTTTCAACCAATTTAAAATGAATTTTCCTTAGTGAATGGTGGGAGTAAGTAAGCAGTGGCTTGGAAAGACACTCTAGATTTCATGCTGTATTAGCATGCCCCTGGGTAGTGCAGATGGTGAATCTGCTCAGCTGCAGACAAAGGCTGGAGGCTTGGGCTTGGCCAGAGACACTTTGGAAGAAAGACCTAGTGACCCACTTGTGAAACATTCAGCCACTGAAAGCTCTATGGAGCATGGTTCTACTCTGACACACGTGGGGTCGCCACGAGTTGCAGTTAATGGGAACTTTTTTAATTTTTGGTTCCTGATAGGAAGGTTGGGCAATCTGCTTCTGTAGTGATACCCTCTTGGAAACCCATGGTGGGGATCGCTATGAGTTGGATCCAACTCAACGGCAGTGAGTGAGATAAAAAATCTGATGTTCAACTTTAATAGAAGGAATCAGGGGTAGCCACGCACAGTGTATTCTTACCTCATTCTAAAGTGTAAATCATCAATTAATTGAGGGTTAAATAAAAACCTGCTGTTATTGAGTTGATTCTGACTCACAGCGCCCCTAGAGGAAAGTGGAACTGCCCCAGAGGGTTTCCAAGGCTGTCATCTTTACAGAAGCAGACTGCCGCATCTTTCTCCCACGGAGTGGCTGGTGGGTTCAACCAGTTGACTTTTCAATTAGCAGCTGAGTGCTTAAGCCCTGATCTAGCAAGGCTACTTAACTGAGGACACACACACACACACACACACACAATCAGAGACAGTGCATTTGTGTTCAAGATTTTGAAGAAAAACTCAGACCTAGATCTAGCAGAGTTGGAGGAGAAAGGGATGACTGCATGGAAAGGTCTGAGAGATTCTAGCATAGAACAGGGGCCTGAGGGGTTTCTGGAGCGGGAATGAGGCAGTCCTGGGGCTGTGGGCATCCCCATCCACAGGGGAAGCGGCTGAACCACCACTGAGCAGTGGGTTTCTACACTGTCTGCAGGGGCTGCTGTGGGCACCAATGTGTCTGGGGCTTGACCAGGACTCGAGGACACTGTCACACCAAAGACTACTCCTCTAGATTGCATATGTCAGTGTCCAATAGGGGTTGAGAATTCCAAGCCCAGAGGCTGCACTGTGCTTTTGCTCTTCTGGGGTTGTCACCACTCGCTGCCCCTGCACTGCAGAAAGAAGTGCCCTCCTGAACGTCTTTTTCACCACACTTCCTCTCACTTCTGACATGCTTCCAAGAAGAACTTGTACTGATAAGGAGTTCTAGCTTAGCCTCTGACATCATGTCTCAAGTGCTCTTGAATCACAAGATGCCTTGGTTTTATCACAGTCGATATTTTTCATTGACTTTCCTTGGAAATCCAAAGCCACAAGTGGATCTTGGAATTCATCCCCTTTTATATAGATTTTTGTCTATGTCTGTCTGTCTGTCTGTGTATCTATCATCTAGCTTATTTATGTAAGTTTCAATCTATTCATCCATCCATCTATCAATCTATCTAGCCATCTATGTCTATGTCTATCTATGTCTCTATCTTAGTCTGTATCCATCCATCCAATCCATCTATCCATCCATTAATCCATCATCCATCCATCATCCATCCATCCATCATCCATCATCCATCCATCCATCCATCCATCCATCCATCCATCCATCCATCCATCCCCTATCATAGTATCTATCATAGATCTACGTACCTATCTATGTCTTTGTGCGTGTATGTTTCTAGCTATGTATTATCTATGCCCTTGCTACCATTTCAAAGAATAAGGCAGAGAGTCACCTTGGAAATCCAAAAAGGGGAGAGAAAACAGTGCTTCTTATTTTCCAAGGTCTTATGTACATGACTAAAACTGATCCTTCCCCCTGCCCTATTTTCTCTCTTAGGTCCATACTTGGTGCTCAGGCAAATTCAAAATGAGGAAACACCGACACCTGCCCTTCGTTGCCCTCTTTTGCCTCTTTCTCTCAGGCTTTTCCATGACTCGTGCCCAACAACAAGCAGGTAAGATCCAGAAACAGCTCTTAGTTTCATGAAAAGAAACAGTATTCACTGACTTTAGATCTTAGTCGTCATGAACTTGAGGTAGAGCCTAGACAGGTTGTTAAGAGCTAGAGAAGCCATTTATTGCAGGATATTTGTTTGTCTACAGACCTTCCCAGACACTTTTTATCCAGTATGGGATGGTTTGTTTTTTCCTGAAACTTGGGTCAGATATCCTGGAGTTGGTTTGTGAGTGGCTTGTTTTGACATTGGGTGTGAGTAGAATGCTTGTATCTTGAATGCTTCATGATCAGAAGAGTTTTTCCATATTTCTGACATTAGTGGGTCTCTGAACATGCAAAATCAGGAGAAGACAAGTCATGAAAGAAAAAAAAAAGTATTTTCCATGAAAAACAAAGATTCTTCTCTCTATACCTCCGTACACAGAAAGACATTTTTCATCGTTCTAATCTAATCTTTAAAGGATCACTTTCCCAAAACTATTTTTCAAAATGGATCCTAATGAATCCTATTAAGAATTTACTTGTCAGGTTTTAGCAAAGTGAGAAATGCCTCTTGCATTTGAGATGGTAGCTTATGAGCCAGACGGAGCTGACTTGGGTCTTCCTCTCCCTTGCCTGGGTGTTCTCTGCCACCAGAAAGCTGCCCTGGGAGGGAAAGAAAGCCAGCTCCGCCTGGGTGGCACAGGCACGTTCTGGTGGGAGCATCAGCTAAGTCACGCACAGGGGCGAGGAACCTCTGCACACAGCCAGCCTGGGCCACAGCCAGAAGGGCACCTCACCAGATGCTGGTGGCCTGACACCCTCAGTTCCCTGCTTCTATACTTGAGGGAGAACTTGATCCATCTTTGAAAGGGAAAAATAATGTTCAGCATCTCTGAAGACTTTTCTGACTGTGAAAAATATGTAATAACTAGTTAGGGACCTTTCATCACGCTCAAAAGTCTACATATACACCTAGGTCTTCCTCACTTAAAAGGATATATATATATATATATATAAACATTTACTTTTCTAGAAAGGACCCAAAGTATTGGGATTCTTTAATGTAAAGCAGAGTAGTTCTCACTTTCCTTGTGCCAAAGGCCCAGTGACACACGCTAAACTGAAGAATGAATTTGGGAAGTGATGGTCAGTTACCTGTGGTAAGATAAGATATCCTTCTGGTCTGATCAGGTGGGTCTTGGGGCTCAAACTGCCCCAGAGGATCATTCTTGGGTTCAAAGACACCCAGCAAAAGTTGCTTCTTTTCCCCTGGAGCATAGTATAGGCTTCTGAATAGCGGCCATTGCATCCGGTGCTTGCTTCAATGGCCAGCCCCTGTCAGCTGTTGAGTCCCTGTGCCCAGGCCCTCCACTTCCCAGGTAAGTTGTCCACCTGCCAGTCTTGCAAGAGAGGAGTAAGGTATGTAGCAGCAGCGCAGTGTGAGCTGAATTCATGTAGGAAGGTTTTGCACTGCTAGGACGTGATTGCTTGAACAGTAGAAAAATCTAAACCACTGTCTTTTTTTAAAGATGTCAGGAATGGTGCTGCTGCCGATATAATATTTCTAGTGGATTCCTCTTGGAGCGTTGGAAAGGAACATTTCCCACTTGTCCGAGAGTTTCTGTATGATGTTATAAAATCTTTAGCTGTGGGAGAGAATGATTTCCATTTTGCTCTGGTCCAGTTCAACGGAAACCCACATACCGAGTTCCTGTTAAATACCTATCGTACTAAACAAGAAGTCCTTGCTCATATCTCCAACATGTCTTATACTGGGGGAAGCAATCAGACTGGAAAAGGATTAGAATACGTAATCCAAAACTACCTAACTAAGGCTGCTGGAAGCCGGGCCAGTGATGGAGTCCCTCAGGTTATCGTAGTGTTAACCGATGGACGCTCAGAGGACGGCCTTGCCCTGCCCTCAGCGGGACTTAAGTCTGCTGATGTTAACGTGTTTGCAATTGGAGTTGAGGATGCAGATGAAGGAGCGTTAAAAGAAATAGCAAGTGAACCGCTCGATACACATGTTTTCAACCTAGAGAATTTTACCTCCCTGCATGACATGGTAGGAAACTTAGTGTCTTATGTTCGTTCGTCCATGGCTCCAGAAGGAGCTGGAGACACAGAGACCCTTAAAGACATCACAGGTAATGGCAACATCGCCAAGCTGCTCCCTGGCCCGCTCTTTGGGGATAAGCTTGGCAACTGCTGGCATTAAAGCAATACTATGCTGGAAAATGGTGGCGGGCGGGGGCATAGGGAAGAGATGGGTATTCGCAGGTGTAAAAACAAAGGTTTCACTATTCTTCTGGAGTGTCTTTCTGAAATAGAGCATTTACCCACATCCAAGGGGACAGGTTTTTCACTTTCGAGACAACTAATGTTTTTAACTCAAAACATCATGTTCTGACATTTGGACCCTATAAGAGGTACTTCCTTCTTCCACAGAAAAGAAACTCTCAGTATGGCTGGGCAGGCACTCACAAAAATGCCTTCTGTCTGAGATTAGAATGGAGTGCTTGTTTCCTTAAAGAACATTTTGTGTCCCAAAGCCCCAAAGCTGAGAGGGGAAAGAGCCCGTCCACCTGTGTCCACTGCAATGGTGCCAAGCTCCCCTCTTCTGCCCTGTGGAATCTATTTCAGAGAATGGATCGATGGAATTAGAATTGGTAGGAACCTTAGATATGGTCTAGCCCAGATCTATTTGGAAGACATTGAGCCCTCGAGAGAGTAAGTAATGTGAAGTTAGGGCAAGAGCCAGAGCCGGAACCCCCGTGTTTGGGTTCTCTTCCATCTCCTTTGTGCCACTGCCATTTCTGTGGCCAAAGAGACGCTTCCGATTCAGTGGGGCTCATCAAGGCCACCCTGGGAATACTAATCATGCACGAGCATTGCATTGACATACTATTCCACAATGACATGTGTGGAACTCACTGGCAGGCAAGTTATTTAATCATCAAGCCCGTTAGCTCTCCTTCCAGCTCTGTATGCCTGAAAGACCAATGCGGAAGGAATTTGACAAGCAAATTTTAAAAGGAACCATACCAGGGCAAAAGAGTGGATGAGTTTTCCTATTCTGTTTAACCATTATATAAATAAGCAAGCAACTAGATTCCCACATCTCACATTAAATGAGCCAATCAACAGCCCCCAGGCTTACTGATGGGTGACAGGAAGGGCAGAGGGACCTCCCTTTGTTAGGAAATGAGCCCATGTGGTCATTTGATAGTTGACTGCAGAAAATGCTGGATGGAATGGCCATGGTGTTAGAATGGAATCGAGAACCTCCGAGGAGAAGTGAGCGCCAGAAAGGAGAGATGGCTGCTCCACTGGGATGGAGGGAAAGGACAAGAAGGAAGGCTGTGCTTCTGAGATCTGAAGGTGGACAGAAGGAAAGCTGTTACACAGAAAGCTTTCCAGACAGAGAGAGAATTCAAGTTGAATTGCATCAATTATCTCTATAAGGGAACATGACAGAGAGAGTGAAGGAGTTGGGTTTGGGAACTTGGAGGAATTGAATTGTTTTTGAACAGTTGCTCAAATGTCCCAATCGGCAGGGACATTAGCACCCTATCCCTATCAAAGTGAAACTATGTGGGACCACTGGGGAAACTATTTTACAAACAACCTTCTGAAGCACCTTGGGGTTGCTTAGTCCTGAAAACTTTCTCTTAACCAAGCCCTTCCCACTCAAGACTATTGACCTGCGATGACACTCCATCCTTGGCAGAGAGTATGACCCATGTGTGGTCTCCATGACATTCTGTAGATATCTTAGGCCCTCCGTATCAGAAGGCATGACCAAGTTCAGCATTTGTTAGTAAAGAAGGACTGACAGGGTCAAGAACATTCTCTTGGGAAGGAGCTCTAGAGTGTTAGCAAGTAAATTCCTGGAGTAGCCCACCATGGGTGGGGTCTTGCTGGGTGAGAAGCTGGGTTGGGGGACTTCTGAAAAGCCAGAACGTGAGAGGGCAGGATGAGGGGTAAGAGCTCCAGAGACACCTGAGTGTGAGCAGGAGCACACTGTGTCTGTAGAGAGGTAGACTTCAGAAGGCAGATCTGAGGTTGGAGGAATTCCCAGTGATGCCCTCATGTGATTAGAGTGCAGTAGACTGAGGCTATTGAAGACCCAAGAGGCTGGCACTCAGAGGGGTTGGTTAGCCACCCAGATGACAAAGTGGAGATGATGGTCGGGTGTGCGGGGTTGACACAGGCTGAGTATGACGCAGCTGAAATCATTCAGGAAGGCTGGAGAACGTCTGTGCTCATGTTATTGTTGTTGTTCATGCTCATAGCTGTGAAAAAAGAAGTGGATAAGTGTTTGAATGAAAGCAGAGTGAAAGGGTAAGCAGATCCAAGCGGCCCCATGGCAGAGGAAGTGATCACAGGGAAGGGGGGTTGTGGCCGGCTTCTCCCCTAGGTTTGGTTCCCACCTAGAGGGTTTCAGGAGACAGGACGCAGTTGGCAGAAGTCAGGCTCTGGCTGATTCAAGATGGTGGGGGCAATAGGAAGGAGAAAGAGTTGAGGCTTTGGAGGATAAGTCATGTAATCAAAGGTCCACACGGGAGGAGCTCGGGGAAGGGCAGGCAGCAGAAGAAGGCTGGAGAAAGGAAGAGGCTTCTGGTGGCACAGTGGTTAGTCAAGATGTCAGCTGTTCAAATCTACCCACTGCTCTGCAGGAGGAAGATGTAGGAGTCTGCTTCTGTAAAGGTAACAGCCTTGGAGACACCATGGGGCGGTTCTCCAATGTCCTATAGAGTCACGGTGAGTGGGAATTGACTTGAAGGCACGCATTTGGGTTTGGTTTTGTTTAGAGAAAGAGTACTAGGCAGTGATTTTCCATAACAAGCATTCAGAAATCAGGAGATAGGAAGTGGGACAACTAGATGTCAATGGAACAGAGCCCCAGTCTTGAGCGGGAACGGCTTGGTTAAGAGAAGGGTTTCAGGACTAAGCAACCCCGAGGTGCTTCAGAAGGTTGTTTGTAAAATGATTTTCCCAGTGGTCCCACATAGTTTCAGCTTTGATCGGGATGGGGTGCTAATGTCCCTGCTGACTGGGACATTTGACTTCTCAGTAAAAGGAGTGACAGCAATGTTCAGATTATTTGTCTGTAGTAAGAAAAAGAAAAGAATTTTGAATGGGCATTTGTGAAAGGGGGATGGATCCTGATTCCAAGTGACATGGCCTACCTCTGGCATATAATGTTTACGTAGTATCCATCCTACTGGATTATAGGAAAAGGGTGTCCTCAAAATTATCCCAAACCAAGCATTTCACACCCAGGTGACAATGAAATGATAAAAGGGTATCTGCGATGACCTACTCTTTATTTTCTACAATATTGTTAGGATCACTGATTCACTACATTTATGAATATAAGGACAAAAACAAATCTGTGTTGAAAAACAATGAGGGGAATCAGTAGAGAAAGGAGGCATCTTTTCTTTATTGATGCATTGGCAAAGCCAGGAATGAGATTAGATGAGTTCTCCTTTGTGGTCAACCATTATGTAAGCGAGCAAACAATGAGATTCCCACATCGAATGCTAAATGAGCCAATCAGCACAGTCTATTTCCACACAGATGACAAAACCTTTGTTTTTATGCCAAGAAAGCATCTCTGCCTTCTAGTGTCCAAGCCACTAGCAGCATCAAGGTGAACTATTAATGCATTTATGTTGTCTTTTCTAATTAACTTCACTCTGCAATTCCTCCAGTATCGTGTCCCACTGCATGTCCATGAAAAACCAGTAACAGTAGCCATACTGTTTCTGCTTACAGCTTTTGAGAAAGGTAGTTAGGAGGGTATGATGGTGACGGCTAGTAAAGTAGGGCCTTTTCTTCCCATTGGTTACCTGTTAGCTAGATAATGGTTCCCTATAGAGCGTACTTGATCATAAAACACACATATGTATATGTTGCTAACGATCACCACAGTTCTGACGAGCTCTACTTAATCAGTCTTTAAAGGTGATTAGTTGTGTTTTTTGAACTCTGCTTGTCATTCTTTTAAAGATGGAGATGACTAAGACACAAACGTTTATACCCAAATGGCAGGTCCAGGTGATAGAGTAGGTGAGGATCTCAGTGGGAGCGTTCTTTTCCCTGAAAAACATGAAGATTTGAAAAATCCCACAAACATATGTGTGATTTTGTGTATTGCATAGGAAATAAGAATGTGAGTGAAGGAAGGCACCATGCCCACACAAATGCACTTGGGAAAACAATTTTCCAAGGGTGTCGAAGGACCTTACGATTTTTCCATAGACATTTTCAAAACTTTCCACCATAGAAAATGCCACATCAGTGTATGAGACACCAGCCCTAGGAGGAGAAAACTAGGCAAATTCATTGTTTTTTCAAAAATTTTAGATTGGTCTGTTTACTTTCAGCATCATGTTGTCATTGGTGTGCCTTGCTGTACCCAAGAAACCACGGTCCTGTGTCTACCTGAGGCTTTGGCTCTCCTGGATAACCAAGCATGCTCTTGTGTGTCCATCATGTGTGTGCGAGACAATGATGTTTTATTTTCAGTGATGACAAATTATCCAACATTTTTCTATGACCCTCTGTGGTAGATGTTCAGCCTTTCAGAAGACAAACGTTGAGGAATTCTCTTTTCAGGGTTCTTTTTTCTTATTTATGCTACTGTAAATTGCAACCAAAGAGTAAGTAAGAAATTAATAACCAATAATGTCACCCTATGATTGAGGTGTCATTTCTCTTTTATTGACCCTAATGTTGTAGTTAGTCCTTCTTTTAAACATTCTTGATATGCTAGTAAGTGGGAAATACTCCTGTGCCCTTCAAGGTCATTGAGTTAGGGCCAGGAAATGTTGAGTGTTTTGCATGGTGTCATTTGCAGAGTCTTATCTCAGATATGATGGTGGCCATTTCTAGGACCCATCATGTCTTTCACACTCCCTGACACCACACCCTCCCAAAGAGCCTTAAAGAATCTTACACTTTGCCTAAAGGCCATGTTTCTTAGCAAAGGTATGGTCTTATTTAATACTTTTGTGTGACAGGTGTTAAAAGCATAAGATCTACTACAAAAAAGAACTATCCTTCACTTTAGATGTTATATAAAGGATTATGACATCAAGGTTTCCAAGTAAATGTCTTTCCCTATGCAAAGAACTCATCTACAAATATGTTGTCAGGAAGTTTTGTGTGTACAAGGTGAAGAAGACAGTGGTTCTGATTCTAGCAATCTCTGTGTCTACTTACACAGGGAGAATGCTTGGGTGCGAATATGATTTCACGATAACAAAAGTCTGCAATTTCCCGAGACCAAATTTGCATCCTGTTTCCACTGTGAAAATGAGTGCAATTTTACTGGCACAAGGACAAAGTAATTGTAAACATGAAATGTCCGTTGTTGTTGCAAAGACCAGAATATAAATATCACATGCGTTCGCACAAAATCTCTCCCTGTTCCAAACACATGCTTAAGTTATTAAATGTATGTACTGGAATAATGCTGTGTTTCCTCTAGTTTAAGTCAATTTGATTTAAATGCTCTGGCTGGACCTTGCAAGTATTTCCGCCCACTTTTGAAATTTCCTGATTTCTATTCCGTGCACAGCACTTCTATGGATAGCATTCTCAGTAGTGGTATGGGAGGCTCATATGCCCACCATGGGGAGAAAAGAGGTCTTGGTGAGCCGTTTTTCATGTCCATTGCTACAGCCCCAGAGCTCATTCTGATTAAGGGGTGATTATGCGCTCATGGTTCCAATAGGCAATCAGTTTAGGACGTCATAAAAATACAGTTGGATAATTGTGTCATGACTGGCTCCATATCACCCTGTTTAACATTGTTCTGCATTGTGTGATTGAATACAGAGGCAACAGCAAAAGCAAGTGACCAGAACACACAGCCCACTGCTAGACCTGTACTTGAGTTTCATATAACTAAGCGTCTTATGAGAAAATTAAATTAACGCAAAATCTCATCAAGTATGTTTTTTTTTAAAATGTTACCTATAGTTTTAGTTCTTCTTTCAGATTCAAATGTGCTCAGCCATTTTGATTTTTTAAAGAAAAAGGATGAAAGGAGAGTTGCTTAAGCATTTAACATACTGGGGTGATGAGTCACCAGACAGTGAGTTCTGGTTTGCAGCTGTGGATTTGTACTAAAAAATTCTCATAATCACTTAAGAAATCTAGAGCAATGTCCAAGATTTGGAAATCATCGTTGAGATTTCCCCTGTATGTATGAGAAAGCAGAGTTCCAAGCAACTGCATTCCTCTCCAAATTAGTGGAACTCTCCAGAATAGGCCCCCAAGATTTCTCCCAGATGTCCTGAAATTTGACTACAGAATGGCCCAAGGCACAAATAGGATAGAAGTGCTCCCATGTTGTGCCGTGGTTTCTGAGAAGTTGCCTCTTATTCATTCAGAATGCAGACCTGAAAGAGAATGTCACATTCCTTAATCAACATGTGTTTCCTTTGTCCATATTTCGTGTTTCTTGTTGGTTTCCAAAGAAACACGTGAGAACACCGAACAGATGCATGTTGTTACTTGTTCTAACGCTTTCACGTTTTTTGCATTTCTTTCTCTTAAAGCACAAGACTCTGCTGACATTATTTTCCTTATTGATGGATCAAACAACACCGGAAGTGTGCATTTCGCAGTCATTCGAGACTTCCTTGTGAATCTCCTTGAGAGACTTGAGATTGGGACTCAGCATATACAAGTGGGGGTGGTCCAGTATAGTGATGAGCCCAGAACCATATTCTCCCTGAACACCTATTCCACCAAAGCTCAGGTTCTGGAGGCAGTAAAGGCCCTTAGGTTCACCGGTGGGGAGTTGGCCAACATTGGCTTTGCCCTTGATTTTGTGGTGGAGAACCACTTCACCCAGGCAGGAGGCAGCCGAGTAGAGGAAGGGGTTCCCCAGGTGCTGGTCCTCATAAGTGCTGCACCTTCTAGTGACGAGATCTGGGAAGGGGTGGTAGCCCTGAAGCAGGCTAGCGTGTTCTCATTCGGCCTTGGCACCCAGGCCGCTTCCCTGGCAGAGCTCCGGCACATAGCTACCGATGACAACTTCGTGTTTACTGTCCCGGAATTCCGTAGCTTTGGGGACCTCCAGGAGCAATTACTGCCGTACATTGTTCGTGTGGCCCAAAGACACATTGTCTTTCAACCCCCAACTATTGTCACTGAAGGTATGTATGCTCTTCTCACCAAAGGCGTGGGTGGGGGTGTTGTGTGTGTTGGTTTTTGTAGAATTAAGGCAGGTACCGGAATGATTTGCCTCAGGAGAACCTGTAAGTACTCACAGTCCAGTCCCTCTGTGCTGAGCTGCTGGATGAGATCTTTGTGACGGGTGCCATGTGTGAAAGACTAAAGGTCAATGAGTGGGTGGGATGTGCTTACTTGAGTATGAGTTGCCAGGAAAGTGTGTTCTTGAGGTTAACTCAACACAACACTCACTGTGCTATAGCAGACATCATAGTATAGTCTACTTACAGTTCAGTTATCCTGAGTGTGGATTTGAGGGGGCTTACTGGGTGGTGAAGGAAAACTGGTGGCACTCTCGGTAAAGCTCTCAGCTGCTAGCTGAAAGCTCTGCTCATTGAACCCACTGGCTGCTCCATGGGAGAAAGATGTGGTGGTCTGCTTCTGTAAAGATTCACAGTCTCGGAAGCCCTATGGGTCAGTTCTATTCTTTCCCACGGGGTTGTTATGAGTCAGAATTGCCTTGAAGGCAGGGGGTTTGGTATTTGGTTATTGGGTGGTGCAGATGGTTAGTGTACTTAGCTGTTGACAGAAAGATTGGAGGTTCGAATCCACCCAGAGGAGCCTGGAAAGAGAGGCTTGTTGATCTACGTCCAAAAAGCAGCCATTGGAAACCCCGTGGAGCACAGTTCTGCTCTGACAACAATGGGGCACATCACGCAGAGTTGACTTGACAGCAACTGTTTTTTATTGCAATTATGAGATGATTACTCTAAGATAATGGTATTGACCTCTAAAATCAACATGTTTGAAGGGCACTCAGACATACAGAGTCTTTTTCCAAAAGCCATGGTGGAGCACGCGGTGAGAACTGTCTCTGCCAAGCCCCTCTGCTCTGGGGCTGTGGACAATTGAATTTCTTCTGAAGGTAAGAAATAACAGAAGATTCATTTGGTGGAGGTTTTAGGAACTTTTTTTCTCTATGTTTATAGAGAAAAGACGGTGACATCTACTCAAATGTAAGGCCTTTGGCAAAACAAGTCATAGGAGTGATTTAGAAAAGACAAAACCAACCAAGTCACATAGCAGATATGTATTTATCAATCATGAGAGGTGGGGGTGCATTTTCAAAATTTAAATCAGAGTACAGTTGTGTGTGATGCTGTGGCTATTATAAATACGGCAGATCCAGTTACACTGAATTGCATTAACTGAAGTTTTCTCAGATGGTCAGAGATTTAATGACTGATGTTATTAACCATGTTGCTGGGTGGGATACATCACACTTGATGGGAATTACATTTGGAAATTGTCTTCGTGTTTCTAGACATCCCTCTGATTGTGTGATTTTAGCATTGACTCAATAGAAGGGAGAGCCGGCTTTTGGTCTAAAGGACCCATTGTGGGTAGCAGGCAGGGGTGTCCCATTGCTCCTAGTTTACAGATGAGGAGAGAACTGGAGTCCCAGGTGTTCAGGGATGTTTTCAAAATTACAGTCATGCAGAGGCAACTCTAAGTCTAGACCCCAGATTTTCTGCCTGATGGTAGAAAAGCCTGTGGATGTGAACTTTCTGTTCTCATGAACAGCAGAGTGTCTGTGGGCTGTAGTGGAAGGCTCTCAGGAAGCAGCCAGAGGTTCCTCCCCCTGGTCAATTACTTTCTGAGACATGACTCTCTATTCAGGCTACATCACTTTCATGGCCCCGGTCAGGCCACTAAGAGGCCTCGGTGAATTAGTGACACAGTGGCCCTTCAGTCATTTGTAGAAACACCTAACTCCCTTTCTGGTGTAGCTTACACACAGGGAGACTCTAACAAGGTAAATTCTTGAATGGAAAACCGTGTCAGTCTTATTCTTCACTGTCTTGCCAGAGCATTCAGTAGGTGCTCAATGAATAATTGTTGAATGAATTCTGAGGCTGATATAAGACCCTGGTTGTCATCTGCAACCAGTGATTCCAACTTTCCTACATGGATCAGTACAGCTTCGTAGTTCGTATTTGCTAGCTTTCTAAGTAAATGGCACATATCTGTGTCTACAAAGTAACTTTGCTAGTAAATACTGCTGTTTTTACCGATTTTACAAATTGGGGTTATGGGGAGACTTTCCTTTGAAGAAGGGCTGTCAATCATTGAAAAATAAAGTTTATTGGAAGGCATGCCATTGTATGACATCAAGGGAGAATCACTTGGAAGTCTTAATTAAAAAACATCTGTATCCATTCCTATCTATGGAGTTGACCTCTGCTTGATAGCATTTTGCTAATCATTGGTTGCAGTGAAGGCACTATCACTGTGTCTCTTTGATGTTGTATGTGCCTCCTTACAAGGCTTATGTAATTCAGACTGAGTTAGCGCCAACTCCCTGTCAATAATTTTATAATAGGGCCTTTATTGTATTGATGATTGTAGGAGGATAGGTCAGGACTGTGATGTCTCTTTTAAAGCACACATTTAGTTTTGGATGTTGGAACTGCCCCATGTCCTGGTGATGTGGTAAGAAAAGTGTATGTGAAACTGACTCTCTAGAGAATATCTTTCATAACACTTATTTAAATTGATAAGGTCACCCCAGTGTGGCTTACCTTTCATCTCTTTTAGGTGTCCAGCTTTCCCCCCTCACTTGAGGGGATACTAGCACCTACCATAATCCTTTAGATGAGCTGGTAGAACGCTTAGAACTTTGGACGAAAGATGAAGTGGAAATGGACAGGGAAGAACACTGGAAATGGACTTTGACTTGCCTGAGCTCATTTCTGTCACGGCGCCTTTCCTGTGCCCTGAGCTCATTTCCATCAGGGTGCCATTCCTATACCTGAGCTCATTTCTGTCACGGCGCCTTTCCTGTGGCCTGAGCTCACTTTCATCATGGCACTATTCCTATGATCCTGGAAAATATGAAAACAATGTGGTGAGACTTTACAACAGGTTGTGGTTTCCCTGGGCTTGTATACTTTTGGAAACAAAGAAACCACCTATAATCATTTTATGAACATTGAAGAAATCCCACGGCTGTGGTCTGGGAGACATAGCCTCTGGCCCAGGTCTTGTGCTGACCAATCATTTAACCCTTGGCAGATTGCACACTACCTGTAGGCTCTGGGTTCTTGATTTATGGCAAAGGAATTAAGGTAGATGAAGGGATTTGCATCCAGAGGAAGATTCAAATTCCTTGTCATCAGTGGGTAGCTCCTTGCTGCCATTTAATTTTTCCCTAGCTCATCAGCATTTTCCAAATATTGCCTTTAATCTTAGCAATTAATTTATAGTCAACAAATGTTGCAGAGGTGTCTATGTGTGTGTCTAAGTCCGTGTCTGTGTGTCTGTCTGTATCTGTATCAGTTACTTGGTGCTGCTACGACAGACTTACCCCCAGTAAGTGCCTTTAAGAACAGACATTTATTTTCTCACAGTTCAGGAGACTACAGATCTCATTTCAGGGCATGGCTCTATGGAGAGGTCCTTTCTTATCTACTGGAGATTCTAGTAGCTGTGGCAACTGCTGGCGGTCCAGAGCTTGTCAATGTGTCTGTCTCTGTCATCTGCCATTTTTTCGTCTTCTTCTCTCCATATGTGTCTCTGTGTCTGTTTTGCATTTTTTATAGCTCAGAAGTGATTAGATTCAGAACCCACCCTTCCGAGTCTGATCTAATTAATATAACAGAGAGTTCTATTTCCATACAGGACCCCAGGTAGAGGCGTGAGGATCTCATATTTTTAGGGACACACTTCAATCCAGGACTCTCTCTATCTCTCTACCCTTGTGTACTCATATTTCTGTGCATCTCTATTGCCTTATCTGTCATCTCTGGTTGGAGAGCCCTGAGGGAGAAGGAGAAGGCAGAGACATGAGAGGCTCCCTGTCTTGCACAGGCATGCCTGGTGAGAATCCCACCATCCTGATGTCTACTTGAAGCTTGAGGACCTGCCAGTCACTGTGGAGACCACAACTCGAGGCCAAAGCAATGCTCCAGAAGTGCTGGTCACTGGACATCATGTGTGCATTTGTATGTTTTCACTCAAAGAAGAGAGTTTGGGCCAATAATACTAACATGGTCACATCTCCAGTGAATCGAAGTGTTAAAAAAATGTAATTGCCACATAATATGCCTAATGGTGTAGAGTGATGGTGGACCCTCAATCAGTTCAGTGACTTAACAAATGAACGAATTGATGACACTCCTTTCCCCCTCAGGTTTAATGCTCTTCAAAGCTCTCTCTGGTTTCTGGATAGGTGCTCTGGTCTGATCTATCCTTTGTTCCCCTGACTTGGGAACAAAGTCTACACGCTGATACGGCATTTCTCTGGCTGGAGGGCAGTTGGTCAGCCGCTCAGAGGAAGTGATCTAAATGATGCCTCTCTGCTTGTCTTTAAGTTATCAACATCTCAACGTGTTATTTAAGACCTTTCCAGCAGTGTCCTGCAATGAAAATGTTCAGTTTGATATTCAGTTACTTCTAATATGTTTATGATGCCAAATAATTTTTTTTTTCACCTGGAAAATAGAACCAGAGGGAATGGAGACGTGTGTGTTCTTTGAGCTTTTGCAGTTGGCAATGTGTGTCCTTTGAAATCAAGACCATGAAGCCAAGGGCTCTCTGAGCACACCTCAGTTGCTCCTTTAATCATTGAAACAATGGCTTCCCTCTGACCTCTCAAATCCAAGCTGTACATTGAGAGTTGACTGACTTTTAAGTGTCAGCATGCTAAGCTGATGGTTACTGGAGCAAAAATTTCATGTGCAACTGTTTTATAAAAGTACTAAGAGTGGGCCGGGTGGGAGGGGATCTGGCCCTGTTATTCAATAGGGAAGGATGCAGCTATAAGGAGTGTGTATGCGATGGCAGTTTGCTGCCTGGGGTCCCCAGTGACTCCACAGAGGCCAGAGCAGATGAGAGCAGCCCTTAAACGGAGCTCGCTCTGCAGACCGTTGTTGAGTGTACTCGCTAAGGCCCTCCTTCTCACTCTGTCATGTTGCTACCTGCAGTCACTGAAGTCAACAAGAGGGACATAGTCTTCCTCGTAGATGGCTCCTCTGCACTGGGACTGGCCAACTTCAATGCAGTCCGCGACTTCCTTGCCAGGGTCATCCAGAGGCTGGAGATTGGACAGGACCTTATCCAGGTGGCAGTGGCTCAGTATGCAGACACTGTAAAGCCAGAGTTTTATTTCAGCTCCTACCCCAGCAAAAGGGAAGTCATAACCGCCGTGCGGCGGATGAAGCCCCTGGGTGGCCCGGCCCTGTACACGGGCTCCGCGCTGGACTTCGTCCGCAACAACCTGTTCACTAGCGGGGCTGGCCACCGGGCTGCCGAAGGGGTGCCCAAGCTCTTGGTGCTGGTCACAGGCGGTAAGTCCCTAGATGAGGTTAGCCAGTCAGCCCAGGGGCTGAAGACGAACAGCATCATGGCCTTTGCCATCGGGAACAAGGCCGCTGATCGGGCCGAGCTGGAAGAGATTGCTTTCGACTCCTCCCTGGTGTTCGTCCCTGCTGAGTTCCAGGCCGCTCCTTTGCAAGGCATACTGCCCAGCCTGCTGCCACCTCTCAGGACACTCACTGGAACCACTGAAGGTACGGTGGGGGCCGCGCCACACACCGAGTACACAGGTCTAGAGGCAGAAGCTTTGAGAAAAAAAGAAAGTTCTATTTGTGTTAAGCTAACAAACACCTAATGCGCACACAACTGTTAAATGCTGAAACCAACAGCAATACACAAGCTGTGTTCCAGGCTCCCTTTGATCCTGAGCTGAGACCTGTGTGACTCAAAACAGAATGACAGGACTGAGATGACAGGACCTGGGTCCACCTACAGCTGAAGCATGTGGCCAAGGTGGTCACTTCAGCTCTGACCTGGGGTCCATCCCAGTGTTGTCCTGCTCCTGTAGTGACTCCTACCCCCACCCCACCCCCCAGATCTAGCCTGCGTCCTTCTTGTCCTGAGTCTATTTCTAAATGGCCAGATATGACTAGGGTAGGACATGGTGAATCAAATATGCAAAATCCACCATCCTTAATAAAGATGAATATCACGGAAGAAACTTTCCACCCCACCACTTTCTGTAGGATTGTCCCACGCATGAACTGTGTTGCATGGATGCATGCCTTCTCTTTTCTGGACTTCCAAAAGCCTCACTCTAATTTTTCTTTCCTTCTTTAAAACTTCTAACCCTCACTTTTGTAGCCAAGGTTCAACTTGATAGAACATAGGATAAAATTAGTTATGAGGCCTAAATTTTAGGGAGGCATCAGGAAAGAAATGAGAAATCAAACTTTTAAGGCACGTGCTGAGTATGTTGGGGGAGCCCACTAATTTGAGAATTCTACTCTCTGTACTCCATGTGCATGACCTCAGCCAGGAAGAACAAACAGTGTCGTGTAATCACTGCTCAGGGAAATTCTCATGGGCGCTTGGCTTCATTATTGCCTAGCAACCCTATGCCTCCCGATAGGACAAGAATACCAGGAGAGAAGGACAAGTGGGAGGTCCTAGGAACACTTCAAGATGAGAAGAACCTGCTTTTATTTACTTTTTAGCTTTAAGGGACTCTTGTTTTCCTGATAACTTGGGTTACCTGGGAGTCCCTGGTTAGAGCAAAGGGTAAATATGCTTGGCTACAAGCTGATGAAGGTTGGGGGTTCGAGCCCCCCCCCCCCCCCCCAGGAACCCCAAAAGGCCCTGTTGATTTCCTTAAAAAAAAAAAAAACAAAAAACCCAGCCATTGGAAACCCTGTGGAGCCCAGTCCTGCCCTGACACGTGTGGGGACGCTGTGAGTCAGGCTCAACTTGACACACAGCGGGTTTTCTATTTTGGGCCAACAGTCGTTACGCTATCGGGGGCATGCTCTTCTCAGTTTGCAGGATTTCACAGTGCATGTGCACACCTAGCTGTGGCCATGGCTGTGCACTTGAGCCGTGCAGGAAGGCACAGCACCCTCGTAGATTCCATTTCTGGGGGAGGAATGTTCTGGCTCAAGGATTGTGGTCATTCTGTGTGGTTTGCACACTGGGACTTTGCCACTGCATCTGTCTGTGAGCAGACTTGTCTGTCAACACGCCTCCCCATCACCAGCCACCACTGGAGGGAAATATGCAGCCACCGGCCATATTTGATGAGATGGGCATGCTTTGCCACCCTGATTGTCTCTGTGTCAATGTTGGCATGTGTGCACATGTTGTGTGCACACATGGTGAGACCCTCTGTGGTCACGTATGTCTCACTCTGTTTTTGTGCTCCACTGCAGTTCGCATAAACAAAAGGGATATCATCTTTCTTTTGGATGGATCATTCAACGTTGGAAAAGCCAATTTCCCTTATGTGCGCGACTTTGTAATGAACCTAGTTAACAACCTTGATGTTGGACGTGACAATATTCGCATTGGTTTAGTGCAATTTAGTGACACCCCCGTAACGGAGTTCTCACTAGACACATACCAGACCAAGTCAGATTTGCTGGCCCGTCTGAGGCAGCTGCAGCTCAAGGGGGGCTCGGGCCTGCGCACAGGCTCGGCCCTGAGCTTTGTCCATGGCAACCACTTCACCGAAGCTGGCGGCAGCCGGATCCGGGAACGCGTGCCGCAGCTCCTGGTCCTGCTCACGGCCGGCCGGTCTGAGGACTCCTATCTGGAAGCCGCCAATGCACTAGCGCGTGCGGGGGTGCTGACCTTTTGTGTAGGCGCTAACCAGGCGGATAAGGCAGAGCTTGAGCAGATCGCCTTTAACCCCAGCCTGGTGTATCTCATGGACAGTTTCAGTGCCCTGCCAGCTCTGCCTCAGCAGCTGATTCAGCCCCTCACCACGTACGTTAGCGGTGGTGTGGAGGAAGTTCCCCTCGGCCAGCCAGGTAAACGCACCTTACCGCGCGGGGCCTCCCTCTCCCTCCTCAGTGACCTCCTTGGTGGGCAGCTGGCCGATCTGAACCCAAGAGTGTGGTAAATACCTTGAATGGGAGACACTGTACCAGCAAGGTGAGGTGCTCTGTCTTTAGAACCCTGTCTTGAGAACACTCTGTGGGTGTTCACTGATGAGGGCAAGGAGAGCAGATTTGGCTTATGTCCTGCCATGTCGTCCCACTCTTCATGCAGATTTTTTTTTTCCCTCCAATGGCTGTGAACATCCTGGAGTTCAAATCCAGATAGAAAGGATGAAAGTGAGCTCACGTGAGACAGCACTACCCTTCCATATATAAGTAGGCATTGGGAAGCTTTGGTGGCATAGTGCCTAAGGCGTTTGACTGCTAACCAGAAGGCTGGTGGTTCAAATCCACCAGCCACCCCTTGGAAGGAAGATTGGGCAATCTACTTCTGTAATGATAGTGCCTCAAAAACCCAAGGAGGGGTTGCTATGAGTCAGATCTGACTCGACAGCAGTGAGTTTGGTTTGGTTTTTGGGGCCATTTAAACATTGAAATTATTCTCTTTATATGATATTTTCATATTCAAGATCCACTATACTTGCAAGTTATTTGATATACACCCAACAAAGGCTGTCTCTTTATGCAATAGTCAAATTATCTCTGAAAGAATTTTAGTTGTTTTTCTTTTTTAAAAAATGTCAAAATTAATAGGGCAGAGGGTCAGGAAGCTTTCAGTCCTCCAGCCCTGAAGTCACACAGATGGGCAGCAAGGCTGAGCCAATGGAAACCCAATCACAACAGTGGTGAGAACTGTTTAACCTGAGGATAGCAATCCCCTCACCTTGAGTAGCCTCCTGTGGGCTGCTGCCCTGCTGCCTGTCACCTTGTTACCGGGGAGTAAAAAGCACCAAGAGCAGGCCTCATCTGTGGAGCAACGGCAGGCACTATTGTGGGTTCTAATCCACAAATTCACATTTAATTAAAAACATAATCCAATTAGAGGGGATTGTGGTCATTCAGTTATGCCTTGGTGCTTCACCTACATCAGTCTTTATCACTAGAGATTGAAGTCAAATTTTTGCACCACATTTTCCGTAGTTTTATTTGTAAAAATTTGAAGTGTTGTCTGTTCTCCTAGTGCAGTTGCCACCTAGTGAAAGAACAGAGCCCTGGGGCTGCTTTCCTGGCTCACTTTGCTGAAAAAATATGGCACCTGATTGGCTAGACCAGTCAATTGTCCTATTGTCTTGCCAACACACACTGCTTTGAAATAGGACCCTTGAATGACAGTTGGTGCAGTTCTCTCTTCTCTTGCTGGTACAGCAGTCATCAGATGGATTTCCTAAATAGCCATTACCGAATGCTGGTGGTTCTGGGCTGAAATCAGTTCGATGCCTGCTAATCTCTCTTCCCTCACTGTGTCCTCATGCACTTTTGTTGTAGAGAGCAAGCGAGACATCCTGTTCCTCTTTGACGGCTCAGCCAACCTTGTGGGCCAGTTCCCAGCTGTCCGTGACTTCCTCTATAAGATCATTGATGAACTGGATGTGAAACCCGACGGGACCCGGATTGCGGTGGCTCAGTACAGTGACGACGTCCGAGTGGAGTCCCACTTCAACGAGCACCAGAATAAGCCAGAGATCCTGAACCTTGTGAAGAGGATGAAGATAAAGACAGGCAAAGTCCTCAACCTGGGCTATGCCCTGGACTACGCACAGCGACACATCTTTGTGACGTCTGCTGGGAGCCGCATTGAGGAAGGAGTGTTTCAGTTCCTGGTGCTGTTGGTGGCGGGAAGGTCGTCTGACCGAGTGGATGGGCCTGCCAATGCCCTAAGACAGAGTGGGGTGGTGCCTTTCATCTTCCAGGCCAAGAATGCTGACCCTGCCGAGTTGGAGCAGATAGTGCTGTCCCCAGCCTTCATTCTGGTTGCCGAGTCGCTTCCCAAAATTGGAGAGCTCCAACCCCAGATCGTGAACCTCCTAAAGACCGTGCACAATGGAGCCCCAACACCAGGTACGCCTGAGACATCTGGGTGATTCTACAGTTCAGTTCTCCAACACATAGGCTAGGTGTGGGCTGCTGGCCCCAAGTCCTGTAAAGATCACAGCCAAGAAAACCCCACAGAATGGTTCTACTCTGTAATACATGGAGTCAGCATGAGTCCAAATGGGCTCGATCATAATGTTTTTTTTAAACATTTATTTTGGTTTTTGACTGTATCTGATCCTAGGGTAAAACAGTAGATCCAGGGTGATCATTTTAAAGGACATCAGAATATTTTATAAGACACATTATAAAGATTTAGATATATCAATGTCCTTTTCAAAGCACAGCTCTTACTATATGCATCATGAAAGCATATAGAATGGTTCCATTATAGCTAAAATACTCTTCATAACCCACTGTCTTTATTTTAATTAAGTTAATGTGCTTAATTCCTTTACTAGACTCATTAATAGCAGAAAGCCTTATGAAAGCCTTATGTTGTTGTTGTTATGTGCCGTCGAGTTGGCCCCGACTCACAGAGACCCCTCCTTGGGTTTCCGAGGCAGTATCACTACGGAAGTAGGATTGCCCAACCTTCCTTCCGAGGAGTGGCTGGTGGGTTTGAACTGCCAGCCATCTGGTTAGCAGGCAAGTGTCTTAGCCACTATGCTACCAGAGCTCCTATGAAAGCCTTATAGGAACAGGTAAATTCCTATCATAGACGTGTTAACATTCCTAACTGCTAATGCATGTCACCCTGACTTTGTGTTTAGCCACTTTTCGTTTGTGATAAAAATTTAGTGACAAGAATACTTTACTTTCCATGTCATCCTTTGGGTTAAAAACCGAGTATCTAGACAATCTACATTGACTACTGGGCATGTTCACTCTTGGTTTTGGATTGTAACCTAGAGATCTGGGTTATATTTTCCCCACTGATTCACTTGTGACTTGCAGCAAATCCCTTGAAACCTCAGGTTCTGTGTGTGAAATGGCAATGGCTCTGTTGGCTCTGCCATCCAGTGTCTCTCCTCATCAAAAAACAAAACAAACAAACAAAAAAAGTTTTCTTGAGCACTCTGTTGAACGTTAATAAGATCAAGCATTGAGAAGCTCTGAAAGAAAAAGATTGTGTGGGCGTATTAGTTTCTTATTGCTGCAGTAACAAAAGACCACATACTTGGCAGCTTAAAACAACACAAATTTGTTACCTTACAGCTCTGCAGGACAGAGGTCCAAAATTTGCCTCCTTGGGCTAAACTTGAGATGTCAGCAGCTTGTGTCCCTTCTAGAGGCTCCAGAGAAGAAACAGTTTCCTTGTCTTTTCCAGCTTCTCAAGGTCACTTGCATTCCTTGACTTGTGGCCTCTTCCTCTATCCTCGAGTCCAAAAGGGTAACATCTGCTCTCCTCTCTGACCTCTGCTTCCATCCTTGTCTCTTCTCTGACTCCTCTGCCTCCCTCTTATCAGAGCCCTGTGATCGCACGAGGTCCATGAGGAGCACCCAGGATGGCCCCTCTGTCCTGAGATTCTTCACTTAGTCACATTTGCAAAGCTCCCTTTACCATGGACTGTGACATTTCACAAGTGGGAATTTGGACACGAGAGTCTTTAGAGTCATTATTCAGACAAGCACACTTGGTATGAAATTGTTGCTCTCCTGCTCTATGTGAGTTAGCAGGGTCTTTGTCTCAGTTTCAGGTGAAAAGGATGTAGTCTTTCTGATTGACGGCTCTGATGGTGTCAGGAATGGCTTCCCCTTGCTAAAAGAGTTTGTCCAGAGACTGGTGGAGAGCCTGGATGTGGGCCAGGACCGGGTCCGTGTGGCAGTGGTGCAATACAGTGACCGGACCAAGCCTGAGTTCTACCTGAATTCATACACGGACCAGCAGGGTGTCATCAATGCCATACGCAGGCTGAACCTGCTGGGGGGTCCAACTCCCAACACTGGGGCTGCCCTGGATTTTGTCCTGAGGAATATCCTCATTAGCTCTGCAGGCAGCAGGATTGCAGAAGGCGTTCCCCAGCTTCTAATCGTCCTCACAGCGGAAAGGTCTGGGGATGACGTGAGGGGCCCCTCAGTGGTCCTTAAGAGGGGTGGAGCAGTGCCCATCGGCATTGGCATTGGGAATGCTGACATCTCAGAGATGCAGACCATTTCCTTTATCCCTGACTTTGCTGTGGCCATCCCCACCTTCCGGCACCTGGGGACTGTCCATCAGATCATCTCTGAGCGAGTGACCCAGCTCAACCGTGAAGAGCTAAGCAGGCTGCGGCCCGTTTTCCCACCAACAAGTCCAGGTAAGGAGGGAGTTCTTTCATTCCTTGGTCCAGGTAATCATCTGGGTCTACTTGTTTGAGTGATGGACTGCAAAAGGTTCTCGTGTTGCTTCCTCTGCCTTATGGATGAAAAGTAGAGTTTCCTGAAAGATTAGGAGCCATATACCTTCTTTGACCTTGGTGGCCAGAAATGGCAGAGACTTGGAAGGAGGCTTTGACTCATGTTTGACCAAATTAAAGTCTCCAAGAGGGGCATATATTTGGCTCATAATTCCGACTCCCTAACCTACATAAGGAGCTCTGGTGATGCAGTGCCTAAGGCAATTGACTGCTAACCAGAAGGTTGGTGGTTCAAACCCACCAGCCACTCCTTGGAAGGAAGATGGGACAATCTACTTCCATAAATATTTACCACCTCAGAAACCCAATGAAGGTTGCTATGAGTCGGAAATGACTCCATGGTAGAGGATTTTTTTTTTTTAAACTTACATAAAGGGTTGTGTATAGATGTTGGAAGGGAGAGGTCATTTAATTGACAACATGAGTTCCAACCTCCCCCTGGCAGATCTAGCTATCAGCCCCTGTGACCGGGGATGGGTGTTACCATTGGCACTCTAGGAAATGTTCAGTGATCACTCTACCTTAACTCTGTTGACTGGCATTTTACATATAATAGTTGTTGTTAGGACCCTTGCCTCTCAGGTGGTGACTATGACAAACTGGGAAGTGGTCCATTAATGCTAAGAATTTCATGCCAGTGAAGGTGAAACTCATGATAACATTTGATTCACAGATGTTGGCAGCAAAAGGGATGTTGTCTTCCTCATCGATGGGTCCCAAAGTGCTGCACCTGAGTTTCAGTATATCCGCACACTCATTGAAAACCTGGTCAACTACCTGGATGTGGGCTTTGACACTACCCGGGTTGCAGTTATCCAGTTCAGTGAGGACCCCAGGGTGGAGTTTCTGCTGAATGCCCACTCCAGCAAGGATGAGGTACAGAATGCTGTGAGGCGGCTGAGGCCCAAGGGAGGCAGGCAAATCAACGTTGGGGGTGCCCTGGAGTATGTGTCAAAGAACATCTTCAAGAGGCCACTGGGAAGTCGCATCGAAGAGGGCGTCCCTCAGTTCCTGGTCCTTGTCTCATCTGGGAAGTCTGACGATGAGGTGGATGACTCGGCAGCCGAGGTCAAGCAATCTGGGGTGGCACCTTTCACCATCGCAAGAAATGCAGACCAGGAGGAGCTGGTTAAGATCTCTCTTAGCCCCGAATATGTGTTCTCCGTGAGCACCTTCAGGGAGCTGCCCAGCCTGGAGCAGAAACTGCTGACTCCCATCACAACCCTAACCTCAGAGCAAATTCAACGGATCCTGGCCAGTACACGTTATCCTCCTCCAGGTAAGATTAGCTTTTATCCTCTGAGTAGTTTTGATATAAAAATAATGGTCTCAAGGGCCGTGGAAGTCATAATAAGTCAAATTAACATCAAGGGCTACCTGGTGGTGCTTCTTCCCCTTTATGTGCTCGATGCCCTGTAGCATTGATACACCTGTGGTTGAACATGTTTGGCTCATTGCTTACTGCAAAGGGGGAGAAGGTGCACCATCAAGAACCATGGGGTATCTCAATAGGAGAATGTTAGGAATGACGTAAGGTAGGATTGGCGCTTGTGGTAGGTAATTTGGGGGAAGGTTTAAGGGAATGGGACTGTGCCCTGGATTGGGTACTGTTAAGAGTGGAGATAATTCTGTGATTTGTTATCTTCATAAATCTCACCTAGAAGAGAGGGAAATTCTAGAGCAAGGTAGAGGTCTAACTGTAAAGAGGCAGCAGTCATCCATATTAGCCAGGACAGGGTGGTGGCCAGTTATATTGGGGGTTTGGACAGTGCTTTTTTTGTCTGTGTTCAGATGGGACTATACGTGGAGCCATTTTTGTCTTGGTCCGTCATGGTCACAGAGTGGCCTTGTCTGATGTTGATATGAAAGCTTCCTGTGGAACAGGAGAACCCCACTATCTGGCTGGGTGCACTGGGCCAGCTCTGCAGTGTCTGGGGCTGCTTTTTTCTCTCTCTCAATGACGCGGCCTGCTTAGCTTTCACTCAGCTGTATTCCCACTATAAATGACCAGTGATTTTGGAGGCAAGAGACAGGTGAGAATTTGTTGAGAGGCGACATCTGAGGAGCCCAATAAAATAGTGTCTGAAAAGTACCTTGAATTCTAGTGAGTAGGAAAACATGAGCTCATCTTTCCCAGGACTTTAGGATTACTCTTATAGTTAAAAATGAATATGCATAAAGAAAACAGGGGAATTTGTAATGAAAATAAAAACTCTATAAATACTGGAGGTCAATGAGCAAAAGAAATGCTATGAAGCAAACACCTGGGAAGCTTCCCTGTGATGCACTGGATACAGTATTGCACTGTGAGTATGCTGCTCCTGATGGGAGGGCCAGGGTGGTGGTGAGGGCTGGAGAGATGTCATGGCATGTTGGGGCAGAGGCTGGACTTTCAGCTTTCAGGTGTCACTAGCCAAGTGGTTGTCTTGGGCAAGTCACTCAAGCTCTTTTGGCTTCATCTCTCTCTCTCTTTTGTAGAACAAAGATGGTTTTATAGAACCAAGTGCTCTCGGTCTGTTCTGGTCGCAACTGTTCATGATTCCATAGATTACTGTAGTATGGAAATCATTTAGAAATGCTGCTTACTTTTTAAAAATTAGTGGTAACCTAGACCACAAAGCCAAAATTCAAACAGAATAAACTCAGGAAGAGAAAGTTTTAGAGAATTTAAACCATTTCAAGAAATGGAAACTGTTTCGGTGAAAAAAGTCCATTCTTTTTATTTTTAATTTTTACTATGATTTGGGTGAAGTTTACAGACCAAATTGATTTTCCATACAGCAAGCAGTTCATTCACACTTTGTCTCATGACATTGACTGCAATTTCCCACAGTGCAACAGCTCCCTTCCCACTTCCTCCCTATAGTTACCTCTTCCCCGTGTCCTTCCCTCCATGCACTCCTGCCCTCCTCCCCCAGCTGTTTCCCTGTGCATACACAGCCCTTCTGTTCTCCCGTGATTGATTTCTCTAAGGAGTGTATCTGCCTAATGTACATGTGCACCCCATATGCCTCTCTTTTGTCTGGCTACAAGCTGCAGGAGTGGGTTCAATTCCAGACCTGAAGGGCATCTGGGGGCCATAGTCTCAGGGGTTCCACCAGGCTCTATCAAACCAGCAACCTTGTCCTTTTTTTTTTTTTTTTTAAATGATTCTGAGTTTTGTTCCATGTTGTTCTCCCACTCTATCCGGAATCTCCTACATAGATCCCTCTCTGAGTGGTTGGGAGTGGTAGGGCACCATCTAGTTCCTCTGGTCTCATAGCCATATAGAAGAGGCCCACTTTTTAATGATTAATTAAAAAAATCCCAAGAGATCAATACTATTTGCACATCAAGCTAGAACTTTAATGTTTATTGATATTATGGTGCAATGTAAGGCAAAGTTCAGGATATAATGCAAAATGCAGGAAGAAGAGCAGAAACAAAACCAGATGCTGTTGATGTTAGTTGCCACTGACTCAGCTCCCACTAAGCAGCAACCCCGTATACAGCAGAATGACGCACTTCCTGGTCCGTGCCGTCCTCACAATCATTGCTGTTTGAGCCCATGGTTGCAGCCAGTACATCAGCCCATCTCATTGAGGGTCTTCTTTTTCCCTGACCCTCGACTTTACCAAGCGTGATGTCCTTCTCCAGGGACCGGTCATCTCTCACGATGACATGTCCATAGTATGACAGAGGGCTAGTCACGTACTGACCTTTCCTCTTTTTTGTCTCTTCTATCCTCAGCTGTTGAGAGTGATGCTGCAGACATTGTCTTTCTAATTGATAGCTCTGACAGTGTCAGGTCTGACGGCATTGCACATATTCGAGACTTTGTTAGCAGGATCGTTCGAAAGCTCAACATTGGCCCCAATAAAGTGAGAATCGGTCTGGTGCAGTTCAGCAATGAGGTCTTCCCTGAGTTCTACCTGAAGACCCACAAATCCCAGACTGCAGTGCTTGATGCCATCCGTCGCCTGAGGTTCAAAGGAGGATCTCCACTGAACACTGGCAAAGCCCTGGAATTTGTGGCAAGAAGTCTCTTTGTGAAGTCGGCTGGAAGCCGGATAGAAGATGGTGTGCCCCAACATCTCGTCCTGTTTCTTGGAGGAAAGTCTCAGGATGACATTTCCAGGTTTTCACGGGTGATAAGCTCCTCTGGAATTCTGAGCTTAGGGGTGGGAGACCGCAACACTGACAGAATTGAGCTGCAGACCATCACCAACGACCCCAGACTGGTCTTCACTGTGCAAGAGTTTAGAGATCTTCCCAACATAGAAGACAGAGTCATGAATTCATTTGGACCCTCACCTCCTGGGGCCACCCCTGCACCTACCGGAGGGTACATACCTCCACCCTCACGGCCAGGTACGAGCTGTGTGGCTGGTGACTGCAGACTGTGATGTTGATTTTTTTAGGATAATTGAAAAGATGTTTTTAAAATTAAACATGAATCAACTTAAATTAAAATTGAAATCAAAGATTAATTAATATCTAAATTTAGATTTTTTAATGAAGACAATTAGCATTCATTTTCATATCTGTCTCTCTCCGAGTTGTGTCTGCAGATATTAGAAATTAAATACTGGAAATATAACCCAGTTGAAAATGTAGAAGGAAACAACTCCACACAGTGTGTGGTCAGTGATTCTCTCATCATTCCTGAGGTCATTTACAGCCTTACTGAAAAGCTCTGTAAAGGTGCTTTGAGGATGAATCCCGGACTCATTGGCTTTCAGCACTGGATGGAATCTTTGATGTCGGCTACCCCATGCCCTACTGAACATGACCATGACCAAATGCTCCTCCTTCTTGGGCAGGTCTGACTGTCAGGAAGGAACTCCCTGGGGAACTGTCCACCTAAAGCTCCTAGCTCATGTTCTTGGTTGTTATTTTGGGGGCTCCCAAGAGCAAATTGAATTCCTCCCCAGCCCACATCTCTTCTTGACCCTCCTCTAGATGGTAGCCGTGCCACATCCAGGGCAAATGATCCAGCTTGGTTCCTAGGAAGGAGCTGTACTCTGTGTCCTGCTTAGCCCTTTCCCCACCTCCCTCCATCTCCGTTGTGGCCCCTCTCACATGATCTCCTCATCTCTCCTCCTCTGCTCCAGTCTCAATGGTATGATTCTAATAAGGAAATTAGTCCCAAATGCCATTGATTTCCAGAAGGCTTTCACAAGACTTTCTGCACACCGGCTCTCATTCCTCCTGAGATTCATGGGGTCCCTTTCCTGTTTTCCCACTTCCTTCTCCAGTCCATCCATGTCCTGCTTCTAGTGCATCTCCCCTTAGTCCTGTTGGAGACCAACACTTCCGTTGGACCAGAAGTAAGGTGTATAGTGACATTCTCTGAAACACTCAAGATCATGGACCATTGAATCCAGGCCCTGATCAAAGTCCTGGGATGCTGCTGCTCTGCCCAGAATAACTGGGCTCCAGTTCCACTGAGTTTTCATGCCTTCGTGTTTAGAAGAATGATCATTTACTGTTTTAGTTCTCTGGTGCTGCTGTCACAGAAATACCACAGTGGATGGCTTTAACAAACAGAAATTTATCCTCTCACAGTATACCAAAAAAACCCAAACACACTGCTGTCGAGTTGGATCCAACTCATAGTGGCCCCTCCTTGGGCTTCTGAGGCAGTATCACTATGGAAGTAGATTGCCCAACCTTCCTTCCGAGGAGTGGCTGGTGGGTTTGAACCACCAGCCTTCTGGTTAGCAGTCACATGCCTTAGCCACTACGCCACCAGAGCTCTCACAGTGTAGCTCTAGAAGGCTTTCTCTCTCTGTGGGCTCTGGGGGAAGATCCTTGTCCCCTTTCAACATCTGTGGGCCTTACGTCCCTTGGAGATCCCCATGTGTCTTGGCATACATCTTCCCTTGGGAGGAGGTTCTCAGAATCAGGGACCCTGGGTCCAAATGACGTGCTCTGCTTCTGGCTCTTCTCTCTCGTGGAAACAAGGTCCCTCCTCTGATCACTTCTCTCTCTTTTTATCTCTTGTAAGATAAAAGTTGTTGCAGACCATGGCCTTGGGAAAATCCTCTTACATAGGATCAGGCTGTGACCTGAATAAGGGTGTTATAGCGCCACCCCTCAGAAGGAAAGTTGGGCAATCTACTTCCATAGTGATACCGCTTCAGAAACCCGAGGAGGGGTCGCTATGAGTCGGATCCGACTCTACGGCAGTGAGTTTGGCTTGGTTATCCCACCCTAATCCCCTTACAGCTGATTGGATGATCACATCAGATCACAGCTGGGGGATGAATGTTTTGTTACATATTTGCTAAATTGCATTGCTACATAAACTGCCAAATCCCTGAGAATCATGACCCGGCTAAGTTGCCATAGGCTGACCTCAAGGTAATGTTCATCAGGGCACGGAATAACTGACTTCAAAGATTCTATCTTAGCTGGAACCCTCAACACATGTTTATAGAGCTTATTGATAAGGGCTGTAAACTCAAGAACTGGAAAGCCATGGGATAAAGCGAAGGTTTTCATGTCAATAACTTATAGGAATTCCTCATTTTCATTATTTTAACTTATCTTCAGGAGCTCTGGTGGTGCAGTGGTTAAGGCATTTGGCTGCTAACCAGAAGGTTGGTGGTTCAAACCCATTATGGGAAGAACATGAGGCAATCTGTAAAGATTTACAGCCTGGGAAATCCTGTGGGGGTAGCTATGAGTCAGAATCAACTCGATGGCAGGGAGTTTGGCTTTTGTTTTTGTTTTGTATATTCATGTTCTATGGAAACTGCATTTCTCATTTCCATTTCAATCATGTTTAGAGAAAAAGAAAGCAGACATCGTGTTCCTGTTGGATGGTTCCATTAATTTCCAGAGGGACAGTTTCCAAGAAGTTCTCCGTTTTGTGTCTGAAATTGTAGACACGGTTTATGAAGGAGGTGACTCCATCCAGGTGGGGCTGGTTCAGTACAATTCTGACCCCACGGATGAGTTCTTCTTGAAGGACTTTTCCACCAAGAAGGAGATTATCGACGCCATCAACAAAGTGGTCTACAAAGGGGGGCGACATGCCAACACCAGGATGGGCATTGAGCACCTGCGGGTGAACCACTTTGTGCCTGAGGCGGGCAGCCGCCTGGACCAGAGGGTCCCGCAGATTGCATTTGTGATCACGGGAGGGAAGTCAGTGGAGGACGCCCAGGAGGCAAGCCTGGCACTCACTCAGAGGGGTGTCAAGGTGTTTGCAGTGGGTGTGAGGAACATTGACTCAGAGGAGGTTGGCAAGATAGCGTCCAACAGTGCCACGGCATTCCGTGTGGGGAATTTGCAGGAGCTGTCGGAGCTGAGCGAGCAAGTTCTGGAAACATTGCATGATGCAATGCATGAAACCTTATGTCCTGGTGTGACTGATGTCTCCAAAGGTAACTGCCATTATGTGCCTCTTTTCAATTCTATCTTTTAAAAAATATATACTTCTTTATATTTGGGGTGTAATATGCACAGCAAAGGAGGCATCATTTCAAGAAACTCTACGTATCCTTTTCCAACTGACTCCACCACCATCCACATAAACTCTCTGCATCCTAACTTCTCATCTAACCTTTTGAGTTGCTCTCGTCAATTTGAGCCCACAGAGATGAAAGCTTTGAAAAAGTTCAATGCTCAAGGCAGACATACTTTACTAAGTAAAGTAAACTGCTGTTTGGTTCAAAGCAGACTTCTGGGGAAATTTTTGGCTTGAGGTTTAAGATTTAGAGTTGATCTCAGGGCAATAGTTTCAGGTGTTCTTCCAGCCTCAATGGTGCCTTCATATTTGTAAGTTATTTAGTATTGGATCCCGTCAATCCCATGAGCACTTGGTTGCTTTAGACACTTGCTTGTTTCCCGGTATAAGCTGGTCGGGTCCCAGAAGCCCTAGTACTCATTTTTGTAGTCTAAGAGGAGAAGCCACTCCTCGGAAGGAAGGTTGGGCAATCTACTTCCAAGGTGATATCGCCTCGGAAACCCAAGGAGGGGTTGCTATGAGTCAGGTCCGACTCGATGACACATAAAAACAAGAGTAGAAGTCTATCTTTTCTTGTCCTTAGAAGATTTACTCTTTTTATCATATTCTGTGGTCCCAGAAATGAGATTCAGACTTATTGATCCCTACTTCTGTTCATTGGCTTATTCTATCCATTGCTTGAGATCACAGCGTGTCAGTTCTCAAGTGTGTTTAATTTAAATCACAAATGTGGATTGTATCTAAAAACTTCCTGAAGATTGTCATGCCAACATTGATGACCACCACCAAAAAGCAAACCTGAATTAAGATGGCCTCCAATTTTGTTTCCTAATCATTGGTATCACTGTTCCCTGAGAGAGAGAGTGCATATGTAGAAGATCCCATTTACTGTGAACACCATGCCCGAGTCCATGTCCTAGGTTTTGAGGTCATGGGTGTAAGGAGGACACGGTTCTGCGGCCTTGACTTGCAGTTCATTGCTTGCCTTCCTCCTTTTCAGCCTGTAATGTGGATGTGATTCTGGGCTTCGATGGCTCAAGTGATCAGAATGTATTCGTGAGTCAGAAGGGGCTTGAGTCCAAGGTGGACACCATCCTCAATAGGATCAGTCAGATGCAAAGGATCAGCTGTACTGGCAACCAGATGCCCACTGTACGAGTGTCCGTGGTGGCCAACACGCCCTCGGGGCCAGTGGAGGCTTTTGCCTTTGACGAGTACCAGCCGGAGTTCTTCGAGAAATTCCAGAACATGCGTAACCAGCACCCCTATGTCCTCACTGCGGACACACTGAAGGTCTATCAGAACAAGTTCAAAGTGTCCTCACCCAACAGTGTGAAGGTGAGCAGGGGCTCCCTGGTTCAGACGTTTCCTGTGCACTTTCTGGGTTTTTACATAAATATTAGAGTAAGATAAATGGTTTTCACTGTCACTGTTGGTTTTGCTTTTTTATAGTGCAAGCACTAAAATGCACACACTTATTTTATACCCATTTATTCCACAATATCAAAGGACTACAAACATGGGAGAGTCATTACTTGACCTTGGCCCTCCGTCTCCTCAGTTAGAACTATAATCTCTCATGCCCTCACAGTAGTCTGTGATGTTTCTTCTCCATTTGAGCTGGGATGTGGGTCTCTTTTCTCAGGTGATCATTCACTTCACGGATGGGGCAGATGGAGATCTGGACGCTTTACAAACAGCCTCTGAAGAGCTCCGACAAGGTGGTAAGTTTGACGGCGTTCTCAACAGGAGAGGTAGCCCAGGTGAGACTGGTGTGCTGCTCTGCTGGGCAGGTCGACTCAGTCACTAGAGTCCTTGAGGGGACAGCTTCTCTGGAGGGCTTGACCTTGGCCTCCAGTGTCTTGGTCCTTCATCACCCATGTAGGATGATGGAGTGGGGCTAAACAGGGCTCCTTATGGACATAGCTTTACCACAAGCCTCATGGGCTCTTACACTCACACAGAGTCTGCAAAGCAGGACATGCTTTTCAGAAAAACATGAACAAGTCATTCATTTAGTTCCATCATATAAACCAGGAATTGTTTTGCAGGTGTGAAAAATTGCTGCATTCCTTGTTTGCAGTTATCCCAGCTCAAAAATACTATACCACTTAACTACAAAGATATCTAACTCACACAATATAAAATATATCATGCAAACACACCAAAGTTAAGGTGACCAGCTAAGCAAAGAGGCCTCCTATTAGATGTAGTGTTTGATTCTTTATTTGCTTTGGAGTATTGCAGCACTGATTATCCAAAGAAGGGTTGCCAACAGCAAAGGTCTAAGACGAACATGTGGAGGTGTTACTTATTAAAAGGACTCTGTATTCAGTAGCTTGCTCTGCTCAAGCAACGGAGAACGTGGCCCTATTATTTTGGAGGTGTAGTATTTCAACTCCTCCCGTGGCACATCTGTGTCGTGCGAGACTAGTGTTGGAAGGTGGGTGCACCATTTGCACCTCATGGCCTGTGTTTGTAACAGTGTGTTTAGTTATTGGCGTGTCTGAAACCATTGCCCAGAGGAGCCCAAAGCTTTAAAGAGACAATTTGTTCAATTAAACATGTTTATGTTGAAGACCAAATTTCAGAGTTAGCCTTTTTGAAAAAAAAGATAAGAGGGAAGTCAGAAAGAAAGGTGTTGCATCTTCAAGGCCTGGTGAAGCTGACGCAATGCACCTGTCCCCACAGGTGTGCACGCTCTGATGTTTGTGGGCCTCGAACGGGTGGCCAACCTGGAGAGGCTGATGCAGCTGGAGTTCGGGCGAGGGTTCACATACAACAGGCCCCTGAGGCTGAACCTGTTGGATCTGGACCACGAGCTCGCAGAGCAACTGGTAAGTCTCCATGTCTTTGTGTTGGGTTAGACACCGTGGAGCTTGGAATCTCAAGATGGCCAAGTCAGTTACAGCACAGATTCCACAGTGTCAAAGACCATGTAATGGGAACATCATGACTTGACCTTGGCCTGCCATCTCCTCAGTTGTAAAAGGACAAATTTGAACGAGACAATCTTCCAGTTCCCTTACGGGTATCACCGGGTCAATAGGGGAGGGACTTGATTTACTCAGTTTGCTTGAACCAGCTGCTGTTGGTTGATTCCGACTCATGGTGACATCTTGTGGGTCAGAGCAGAAATCCCACTGGATTTCTGGTGGCCAGGTTTTCAGAAGTAGCTCTTCCAGCCTCTCTTTTGAAAAGCTTCTGGGTAGACTCAAACATCCAACTTTTCAGCCAACACCCAACCTCCCAGGGCCTCCTGACTCCCTTGGGACCTTGTCTTACCACCATGACACGTGAGAGTTCTGGATGTGGCAGCATCAGGTGACTGGAAGACACTGGGTGTCTAGGGTCTCCTATGTTCCCTGTAGTAGCTGCTCCTTTTAATGTCTTTTCATTCATAATATTTCCGGGGATGCAAAGCGTTAGGCTTGCCCGTCCCCAGCAGCAAGCAGTGTGCATGGCCTCTGAGCACTTCCATGCTGAAAGAGACGTTCGGAACGACAGACACTTCTGGCTGGAGAAGGGCTTGCATTGCCTGCCCCTCCCCTCATTGCCTCTGACTTCCGGTCCTCAGCGAGTAGGAGGAGCTAACTACGGGAGTGGGTGAGGGCTTGGCAGAGCCCAGGGCCGTGGAAGTGCGGGTGGGTATGGGGAAGTGTGAGGCTGAGTCTTGGACTTGGAGAGTCTTTGGTGGTGGTAGCAGTAGACGCTGCTGTGTGAATGGTCTGATTCCACCCTTCCTTCCCTCCCACCTTTCTTCCCAAGGCTGGAATTAGGACTTTTAATTGTGTGGAAGGAGGTGAGAAGATGAGTCATCTAGGACAGGGGAGAAAGTGAGACTTCTTGGAAGGTCATGGCAAGGGAAGTCTGTGACCACCACTGGGTCATTGTTAGTTGTTATTGAGTCGGTTCCAACTCTTGGCTCCAACTCACGGCTCCACTCTTGGCAACCCCATGGGCAATACAACAGAATGTGGCCCTGTCCCCTGACATCTTCCTGATTGTTTGTATGTTTGAGTCCACTGTTCATGCCTTCCAGCCTCAGGGACTCATGTTCCAGTGCAATAGCAGACAATGTTCTGTTGTGCTGTGTGTGGTTTTCACTGGCTACTTGTCGGAAATTGATTGCCAGGCCTTTCTTCCTAGTTTGCCTCGGTCTGGAAGCTCCACTGAAACCTGCTGGTATTTGAAATAGATTCCAGCCCCTCAGCACCATGCAAGCCACTGCAGGATGACACACGGACAGACGGAGGGTGGGCCAATGTACCTTTAGTTTAGAAGATGGGGGTCTATTTTGCGTGTGCACTTTCCACTTAAGATTAGGGGCTGGCACAGGAAGGGAATCAAGTGTCTGATAGATGTGAGAGGCACTGGGGACCCGAGTGGAGTGACTGTGACTCAGAGACCCATGCTTCCCTGCCCCCCACCCATGACTGCCCTAGAGGCGGCTTCATATCCTGAGACTCTGACCACAGTTCCGAGGTTCAAGCTACGTATCTGGATATTAGAGCCACTTTCAGACCTGGCCATTTGCAATTTGTCAGGTTTTGCTGCTTGTTGTTTAAAAATGTGTAGATCAATATAATATTTGAATCATGCATATCTGTGTTGGAAACTTCTAGGAATAAGGCCCAGCCTAGCAGTGTGAATATGATGTATTTTTCTTTGATTGCTCTTCACTTTCCCACTGGTGACATCTGCCCTCCACCAGCTGCCAAGAGGGTGACTCTCAGGCTGATCCAGTCCTGAGCTCATGTTGTTGGAAGTGACTTCCTTGCTTGCTGTCAAAGCCCACTTGGCTCAGGTTTCGACTGTCACAGGACATGTAAGCTTTTTCACTAGGTGTTTCCTGAGCTTTTTTTTTTTAAATTTTATCAGGACAACATTGCTGAGAAAGCTTGCTGTGGGGTCCCCTGCAAGTGCTCTGGACAAAGGGGAGACCGGGGGCCCATTGGCAGCATTGGCCAGAAGGTAAGGTGCTGTTTCCCCTTTCCTCACACCTGAGGCCAGCTCTCAGAAACCTGGCAAACTCTCTAACACCGTGGCATGGAGGTGGATAAGGGAGAAGAGAGGGCATCCCGTCTTTGGAGAACAGGAACTCGGAAGTACAGGTCCACCAGTGAGATGGCTGACCCAGTGCATCGAGTGGACCCTGTTCACGGAGCCCCGTGTGTCCCAGTCACGCTGTGCACCTTGGAGTGCACGGTGGCAGACTTTTTAGAAGGAGACCACCAGGCCTTTCTTTTCAGGCACCTCAGGCTGCACTTGCACCCCCCAACCTTGCAGTTAGCAGCCAAGCGAATCCACCACACGTACCCCCCAGGGACTCCCAAGATGGCTTAGGAAGAGCCAGCGCTTGTCACATGCCCCCTTTCCAAGGGATGATGGGACGATCTTCTCTTTTACATGCTGGTTCTTTGTTTCCGAGTCGTGCCAAAGCTAGCAGGCATCAATGAGTGGCTACCTGTCTGAGGATGGCCAGTGGGGGCCTTAGCTTCCACCTTGAACTTAATAGGAAATAGGCATTTGGGGCCGAGCAGGAGGCTTAAAGAATCTGATAAACCAAATCAAAGCAAACCAAACTCATTGTTATCAAGTGGATTCTGACTCATAGCAACCCCGATAGAGTTTCTGTAAATCTTTATGGAAGCAGATTGCCTCATCTTTCTTCCGTGGAGCAGCTGATGGGTTTCAACCACCGACTTTCTGGTTAGCAGCCACATGCCTTAACCACTACACTGCCAGAGCTCCTTAAAGATCCCAACAGAAAGAATAATCCCATGGAAATAATGAGCAGAAAAAGACCGTGAGTTTCTAGGAGAGAATGAAAAACGTGCTCTTAGCTCCGCTCCCCCAAATGAATGAGGATCGTGGAGCTATTTCAATGCAGAACAGACTGTCACAGGATTAACCAAGGACTTGACTTGCTCTCTTGTAGGGCATTCCTGGAGAGGACGGCTACCGAGGTTATCCTGGAGACGAGGGGGGGCCGGTAAGTGAGAGCCGTGGATTCCCCGGGGCCCTTCTCTTTGTTTGGCTGGGTTCCGGGCCTGGCCCAGGGCGAGAACCGCTGCAGTGTGGGCTGGGTGTGCAGGCTGCTGAGGTCACTGCTGGGCTCCCACAGCTGCTCGGGCTCCAGGCTGGCAAAACCCACATTCCAGTGTGTGCTTTGTTGTGATGCAGCCCCGAGTGGACACGGGGCTCACCTGCCAGCACACCTCTTGTTTTTCTTACGACAGGGAGAACGCGGTCCACCAGGTGTGAATGGCACTCAAGGTTTCCAGGGTTGCCCAGGCCAGCGAGGAACAAAGGTATGATGGCGGGGTGACACTGCATTTGGGGAGGGGGCCAGGGCCTCAGCATCCTGGCCCAGGTTCAGTGATGTGCATGGAGATGGAGCAGGGGTCTCCAAGGCCTCTGAGGGAGGAAGGGCAGGGTACCCCATTCCCAGCACCCGGGGCCTCCGTGGAGGGTCTCCTAGGCAGGTAGGTCTGGGAGCGTGCCCGCAGTGGGAGGCAGACTAAGAAAGGAGGGGTTGTTTCCTACGGAGATGCGAGCAGCCTGGGACAGGAGATGTGGGCCAGGGCAAGAGAGGGTGGGTGACCTCTGCCAGGAGCCAGGGAAGCGGGGCTGGGAGACAGGGCTGTCATACTGGAGGCTTCTTTGTGGGCAAGGTTTGGATTCAAGGACTCCTGAATTCACACATTTGCTGATGTCTGAAAGAAAGCAGGAGCTGAAGGGAAGGGCTGCCGGATGCAAAATGCAAGTCCATACAATTCCTTGTCACTGGCCTCTGGAGGCCTTTCCCGAGCTTTGCAGGCCCACCCCTCCTGCCCAGGAGGCCAAGGCCCACAAGTGTTTAGTTCCAGGCCAGTGAGCTTTATAAACAGCTACGTGATGGGGAGAGAGGAGGCCACCAGACGCATGTCCAACACCGGACTTTCAGACACTGTGGCTTTCCGATTGGGCAGGAGGGAGAGAGAGCCTGCTAGGCCCTGAGCAAGCAGCCTTGCAGAAAGGGAGCTAACATTTTTCCTTTTCCCCTTGCCTTCCAGGGCTCTCGTGGATTCCCAGGAGAGAAGGTATTCAAGCTTGGTGTTTTTTCTTTGCATTTTCCCAGTATTTCTTATTTTTCCTTTGCTGGAGGGCTTTCTACTCTCACCTGTATATCTTGTTTCCTTCTAGGGTGAATTAGGAGAAATCGGACTGGATGGTCTTGATGGTGAAGATGTAAGTGATTTTACCTTCTGAGTTCAAATGAAGATGGTGGTGACGGACGCTTTAGTCCGCTTTAGAAATCACACCAGGAATGACATTGTGTTGTTGTCTTTGGCAGGGAGACAGAGGGCTGCCTGGTTCTTCTGGGGACAAAGGGAGCCCTGGAAGAAGGGTAGGTATTGTTCTATAGAGTTGCTATTAGGGAAAAAAGTAGAAGCCTTCTATTTTGAGTACTATTTACTCTCTTTACTCTTCCAAGTTAAGTCGCTTCCTCCAGGCAGTCTCCCTTGGTTTCTCTCCACATGTGCCCATGCTCTTCTCTATGTCCAGGTCAGCTCTGACCCACACCGTTCCCTTCTAGAGATTGTATGCCCCATAGGGCAGTGACTGAGTTTATTTCATTATAAAAAAATGTCCAGCGTTTGGCACAGAGTGTGGCCTCCATAGAGACGTGTGTATTGACTGATCACATCAGAAATATCTGGACGTGACTCTACCCTCCCAGAAAATGAGTGACAGTCAAACACTGCTGCATTAAGACATATGAATTGAAGACCATGATTTTAGGAGCGAGATCAAAATTTAAAGTCACAGCTCATCTTTCGCCTCCACCTGTGTTTTTCATCCAGGGTGATAAGGGGCCGAAAGGAGACCAAGGAGAAAGAGGCAGCATGGGAATCAGAGGGGACCCGGTAAGGAACGCACCCCATCAACACTTTAGATCTGAGTCTGGGGAAGACACGGGGGAAGAGGGAAGTGGGGGGAAGCAGGGTGAAAGGAAGCGTTTTGCTGTTGAAATTGCATGAACCTCCATGAAACACATGGTTTGTTCCCTTCCTACAACCCTGGGACTGTGGGATGTGCTTGACCGTCAGCTCCAAAGAGGAGAGTTTGTGGGGCTGTAAGGCGTCAACCTAGGGTCTCTTGATGTGGTCTCAGAACACTTCCCATTTGCTTTTGGAGAAGAGTTGACGTCCATTCTCATTGCACGGCTCTGTAAAACTTGTAAGAAAATGCCTGTCACTGGACCAGCTCCCTCCTCTGGGCCAGTCCACCTCCACAGCCTAGGATGAGGCAAGGGTGAGGTTTCATCCAGTGAGGGCGGCCAGCTGGGAAGCCCCCTGTTTGAGCTCAGCATGTTGCAGACCTCCTGGCTAGGTTCTGTCTTGGCAGGACGGACACCATCTGGGGGATGTGGTCCACAGCTGTCCCCACCAAACCTTGCATCACTGAGGGTTGCCCTCACTGACCATCCTGTCCAGGTTACAGTGTTTAGCATGCATGTGCATCTCATTCCCTGATCTGTGTGTTTGCAGGGCAACTCTGGGCAGGATAGCCAGCAACAAGGACCCAAAGGAGAGTCTGGTGACATCGGTCCCATGGTAAGTGCTCCTTCAGGCCTGGACCCTCCCTGGGTTCAGGCCCAGGAAGCAACCATCCCCTTGGCTTATTCTGAGTCCTTGAACCCCAGGCTAGTGGGAGCCACCTGGAGGTCACCAGTAAAATACCCTGAGGTCAGGAGCAGTGACCCTTGGTGAGACTTGACTGTGTGTGTTCGCAGGACCAAAGTGATCCTTCCAAAGTGGGGCCTTCTTGCAGAGTTTGCACACCTGGGTGGGACAGATGATAAGTGTTCAGTGGCTACCTGAAAGGTTGGAGGTTTGAGTCCATCCTGAGGTGCCTTGGAAGGAAGGTCTGGCAATCTCCTTCTGAAATTTCAGCCACTGAAAGCCCTGGGGAGTGCAGCTCTGCTCTGACACACATGGGGTGTCATGAGTGGGATTCAGCTCCATGGCACTGGGTGGGGGGAGATATTTGCAGAAAGTGCTTGTGGAGCAGGTGTGAGGCACTGACATCTGGTGGCCTGGTCCTGCAGACAGGTTGGTCCTCTTTCCTGGAGCGTCTTGTGCGAGATTCAAGGGTTAGACTTCTGACTCCATTTTCCCTCACTAGGGCCTCGCTGGGAGAGATGGAAGAACAGGAAGTCCAGGAGAGCCTGGGAAGAACGTGAGTGCCTTGGAGGCTGTTTATGGTGGTGGAGCAGGGCTCTGAGGCCATTTTCTGCAAGAGCCCCATTGCCCTGTGAGGCCTTTAATGGGTTTCTGAAAGCATTGTTGCCCACGTCAACCTGCACATAGAAGCGTTTTTCCTTATGATTTACTCTACACTCCATTCTGTTTCCCTCCTCCATCCTGATTTTCCAAACAACAAACAAAAGCCCCCTAAGTTGCCCACCCATCACACTTTCTAAAACAAACACCTTGACTGCTTTGGAATGCTTGGTAAGGTTTATCCCACTAAGTATTTTCAAAATTCAGATGGAGATGCTGTGGGAGGGAAGGAATGAGGAGCAAGAAGGCGGAAGATGTTGTATGTGTGTTGCTTTGGCAATTATTATTATTATTTTTCTGTGCTGAAGTGCAAACAATGCAGCTAGATGCAGCCTGGTAGCTCGCAGATTTGGGGCTTGCTTTTCCAAGGCATCATGGAAGTGTCTGCTGTGGACCGCCCACTGAATGCCTGGTCTCTGGGTCGTGTTGAACAAATGCTAGTGACGGGATACGCGTGATCCGACAAGGGTCTCTGAAGTCTTGGGGCCCTGGGGCACAGAGGAGGTAGGCCCCATGGCTGAGAGCAGGTGGTCCTTGCATGAGGAGGAGTGGTCCTCAGTCCTCAAGAGAGATGGCGGTGTGAGTGGGTGCCTAGAGCAGGCCTCTGCTCAGAAGCTCCTGGGTGAGGTTCAGGGGTGGTGTGCTGGAGCTGTTTACCAGGTGGCAACAAGGGCCTTCAGGCCGTCCTAGCTGCACCATCAAAGGAAACCAGGCTAGGTGAGGGACTGTGAAAGGAGAAACTCTCACCTCCAGGAGACAGGAAATGGAATTATATAATGGGTACAATTTTGCTGTTAGGATTCAGAAGAAAATGTGAGTTTTTACAATGTTATTTTAAAAAGTCTGGGCACTTTTGATGATGGAGCTGAACTATGTAATGAAACAAGGAAGCAGGTATCATGCAGTAAAATGCCCCATGGCGGCGCAGGTCCTGAACAGACCTAAGACCTGCTTTTCCAAAAATGACTTAACATATAACCAACACCGACAGCAGTGTGCTTTATTTCTGCACACGTGGGAGCAACTTGGACTTGGAGTTGGTGCAGGAGAGGGTCCTGTAGGTCTAGTTCTTCTCTGAGGCAGGTGGGGACCTCCTGCCCCACACGTCAGCACCTCACGGAACCAGGCTGACCCCACCAGGTCTGTGTCACTTCCTACCACCCTTCTGGCCTGGATAAGGTGTCACAGAGTACTGGTGGCCTCTGTAATTCTCTACGGTGTCCCTTTGGTTGGGGGCAGGCCAGATTGTTGCTCTGTGGAAGAGGGGAGCGACGCCTGCACGCCTCCTCTTGTCACATGCTAGTCAAGGAAGGAGCCCAAGACATGGAAGTTAAATCAGCTACCAGTGGAGTGAGAAGTGATGGAACGGGTGGCCCAGGAGATAACTGGGCTGGGCCACTGGTAGTGGACAGCCTGGTTCTGGAGTTCAAGCCCCCTGACAGCTGCCATGTAGTGGTCTCCAGAGTCCCAACCCGCCCTGGGAAACACCCATGTGCCTCACTGCAGCCTCATTGCAGATGGGTGCACAGCCACCACCTGTCTGGCCATGGAGGCTTGCCTGTTGCTGTGAAGCTGAGCAGGTTTCAGCGGAGCTTCCAGACTAGGAAGAAAGGCCTGATGATCCCCTTCTGAGAACCAGGAATGAAACCGCTGTGGGTCATGATGGAACCCTGGCAGTATTTTGTTCCTCTTGGCGTTGGGTTGCTATGAGCAGGGCCAACTCAACAGCAGGTAACAACTGCCTTGGAAAGATGGACTCAGGACATCCGTATCTTCCCACTCCAGCCCCTCCCACTGCGGTGGAAATAGTCATCAAGTGGGAACTAAGAGATCCGTCACGCAGCGAGCCCACGTTTACTTGAACTAAGGGTCACCTCGGGAGCATACAGGGAGATGTTGCCAAGTCACGCGGCTGGCCTGCAGCTCAGGGTCTTTGGGTCCACACGGCTGGCTTTGGATTCTTTCCTCAGCTGAGGACGTGTTGTATTTGGCCTGGATACGTGGGGAAATTTGGGACTCCTTTCCACTACATTGAACTTGTTTCATTGCTTCTCATGACAGTTAGGAAAGTGGAAGGAAGACAGGTTGGCATTCTCGCTTCACGTTCCTCATTTGAAATAGGGCAGGGAGGGCATTGTCAGTCAGAAGAAGGCACAGTTCTGCCTGGCAGGTCAGCCGTGATTCTCGTACCTTCCATCTGGGTAACTGCCGAATACGGGAGCAAAGCTTCCCAAGATGGAGAGTGGATGGGAAGGGTTCTCTTTCTGCAGACATCCCTGCTGCCACTGGGCAGAGCCCCTGGTACCCAGTGGGTGCCCAGAGCCACCCTCTGAGGGAGGGATGAATGTGGGTTAAACCACAGACCAGTGCCCCCCTTTCTGGGCCCCCAGTGTTTCCCCTCACAGTTTGTGTGACTTCTTCTTCCTCAGGGTGGCTTTGGTCGAAGAGGACCAGCAGGAAACAAGGTAAGCCTGGAGGGTGGTGGTCACCATTTCACTCACAGGGGGCTCTCAGGGCCCAGACGCAACCCAGCCCATGACCAAAACATCCTTCCGACCCCAGCAAGGCTCTGTAGCTCCACCCTCTTTCCTATCATGGCCTTAATAGGCATCTCTGCCAACACCTGTGAAAAGGGCTGATGGTGGACGAGGGGCAGCTGAGGAGAAAGGCTGAGCACGCAGGTCCTACACCTCTTCTCCTTTATGCACCCCCTCGTCTGATCACAAGCCACCCCCTCCACCCTCAGTCTTCTCACCTGTGGGAAGGGGTTCAGGTTTCACCAGGGCGTCTTGAGGAAAAGTGAATCCAAATGAGAAATGCTTGTAAGAGGCCAACGTAACAGCCGGCCTCAGCCTGCAGCTGTGTCTCCCTGGTCTAACCACTGTACCCCACTCCTTGAGCAGAAGGGCTTGTGGGATGGAGAGCTGGCACAGATGTAAGCCATTCCGATCTCTCTGTGTGTCCTCTTGTTTCCAGGGCAACAAGGGCAGCCCAGGCCAGGCTGGCTTCGTGGGAGAACAGGGCACCCGGGGCTCACAGGTCAGTACCCCCACGTGACTGCAGGCCTCCTGAGGTCTTCCCATGTGCCCTTGCATGTTTCACATTGAGGCGAAATCCATGTAACCAAAGGAGCCACTTCCATGTGTCAAGTCGGGGACCTTAGTGTCTCGCAGTACTGAGCGGCCACCACCTCCGTGCACTGTGAAAACACTTGCTTCCCTGCAAAAGGCGCCCCACACCCACAGAGCAGTCGCTCCCCATTCTGCCCCCGTCCCAGCCCTGGAACCCACCGATCGGTTCTCTGTCTCTGTGGATTTGCCTCTTCCAGATTCTTTCATGTAAGTGGGGCCCCATCAAACGTGGCCTATGTGTCTGTCTTCTTCGCTGAGTCCACACGTTTTTAAGGTTCATTCACACGGCAGCCTGTGTCGGCACTTCTTTCCTTGTTATGTCTGAGTGACGTTCCACGGCACCGATGGGCCATGTCTGTTCATCTGTCGGTGGGCACATGGGCAGTTTGCTCCTCCTTTGGGCTGTCGTGAGGGGCAGGGCTGTGGATACTCGTACTCAAGTATTTGAAAGTCTGTTCCATATATATATACACACACACACATACATACACACATATGCATGTATGTACACACATACATATACATTTGCATGTACATACATATACATACGCACACATATAGACACACACACATATATACATATGCATAGACATACACACATGTAACTACGTACACACACATACACACATATATGCATATACATACATACATACATATGTGCACATACACAATACATACATACATATATATACACATTTTTAAAAGTCACATTCACACTCTTGGATTGAGGCTGCTGTTGCAGCTAAGATGGAAGGAACCATGCTCTGTGGGGCTTTCTGGATGGAGATGTGGGGCTCTGCTCTGTGAGTTGTACAGAGGCCACCCTGCGGCTCCTCACGGAGTCACCTGAACTCAACTCTGATGTTGGTCTTGCCCCTCAACAGGGCCCCCCTGGTCCCATTGGCCCTCCAGGCCTGATCGGTGAGCAAGGCATCCCTGGACCTCGGGTGAGTTGGCCTCCACCCCTCCTCTCCCTTTAGCTGAACAGACAGGTGCTTCTCTGAGGCAGTCAAGCGTTTCTTGGCTGATGTTACTGCAGACAGACCTTCCTATTAGCCTGATTCTCGGGCAATGCAGACCCTCGGTCCTCATAGTGAGTCCCTAGTTTACCCCAAGCAAGTAAGAAACTCCTTTTCTTGGTGCTCCAGGCACTTCTAAGCCCCAGTGCCTAGCTCAGAGATGGACCTTAACATACATGGTAAACAGGTGGGAGGGAGTGGAGATTAATAAAGGGTTGCTCCTTGAAAGGGCAGGTCAGCTGGGTGGTCAGGGAGGGACAGATGGACCTCATCTCAGAAGCTGTCACCTAATTAAGCAAGTTACCAACCAGTCTACTCCGACCCACGGCGGCTTTGTGGGGCACAGTATCGCCCTTCGATGCGCCCAGTGGGGTTTGCGGAGGCCGACTCTCCAGAAGTAGATTGCCAGGTCTTTCTTCTTAGGAACCTCGGGGGCACCTACTGGTTAGCAGCTGAGCGTGTTAACCACCTGACTGCTCAGGGCTGCAGAGTCAAAGTCAATCTACCGAAATTCCTAGATTACACCGAAGAGGTTCATGTTCGGTCCCCAGAGAGAGCCCTGCAGTTAGGCCCTGCGTTAAGGAGGTCCCGTCCTTAAATCCGACACTGAAGACACTGGTGGGCCTCTCTGTGACTCCAACATCAGCGTGCATCCCACGATGAGGGACGAGCTCACGGAAACATGTTCTTGCTGAGCTGGGCACCAGCTGCCACGGCTTGGGCCTGCTGGCTTTCCTCTTGTCTGACAGGACGTTGAGGGAGTCAGTCTGTCATTTGTTACAAGAGGAGAGGAATGACTGGTCCCCTGGCCACATCCTGGCCCATTGCCACACAAATGCACAAAAATATTTCACAGCAAAGCACACAGGCACTCTGTGAAGCTCCTTGCCGGGCTTGAACCTGACCAGCACCAGTTTCAGAGTTGTGTGTGTGTGTTTGTACATGTGTTTAATCTCCAATTAATCAGGATTGAAGGTGCTATGGGAGCAAAGCTGTTCAAATGGTTAAGCAGTAGCCTGGCACCATTCAGAAATGTCTGAGCTCCCACATATTGAAGGCTGTACATGTTCGGGCCACTTGTGGCCCATGCAGCCTGCATCATGTTTGAAGAGTGATTTTCATGCATGATTTGCTCATTCACTCCCTGGGCCCTGATACACCTGTACACGTTAGGTGCTCACTGTGGATAGGTGTTGTTGAGTTGATTCTGACTCACAGAGACCCCGGCTACAACAGAAGGAAACACTGCCCGGTCCTGGGCCATACTCAAGATCCTTGCTCTGCCTGAGCCCATTGTTGCAGCCACTGTGTCAGTCCATCTCGTTGAGGGCCTTCTCCTTTTTCACTGACCCTCCTCTTTACCAAGCATGACATCCTTCTCCAGGGACTGGTCCCTCCTGACAACATGACCACAGTAGGTGAGACGGAGTCTGGCCGTTCTCGCTTCCCAGTGCTTACGGTGGGGGTTGTGAAATGAGGCGAGACAAAGCCCCACCGCGTCTGCGTGCTAGTCGTCTGGTCAGCAGCATGAGATGCAGACGTTGCTGCCGGTGGTGGTGGTGCCTTGGAGTCAGTTCCTAGTCACGGCGACTCTGTGCAGCAGAACGAAACGCTGCTTGGTCCTGTGCCCCTCACAGTCATTGCAGCCAGTGTGTCAATCCCTCTTGCAGAGGGTCTCTGCCTTTTTTGTGGACCCTCTACTTTACCTTGTGTGTTGTCCTTCTCTAGAGACGGGTCCCTCCAATAAGTACTCTAATAATGTGCATGAATTCATATGTGTGTTAACAACTGCAATTATGTGGAAACCGGTGCTTGAAAGGCTGCTGGTGTTTCGCACGTGCTCATACCTCTCAGCTGCAAAGCCATTTCCCTGCGTGTTTAGATGGAGTGTCCAGTGGGGGGGGGGCGCTCTACCATGTCCTTGGGCATTATGGGCAGGGCAGGTGGCATCACCTTGGTAACTTGACCTCTAATTAGGGGCAGAGCAGGTTTGAGGGATCGAGGAGACATCTCAGGCGGTTGCCCATCTCACTGACAAACCCCTCTCTTGCTCTAGGGAGGTGGAGGGACTGCAGGTGTGCCTGGAGAACGTGGCAGAAGTGGCCCCCTGGGAAGAAAGGTTTGTCTGGAGCTCATGTCCTGAGGACAGGTGCCAGGCCTGATGCCACACCTTGTCTCTTCCTCATTTGGCCCCCTGTCCATCTGCCGAGTTTGGACAGACCTTCTGCTCATCTGGTCCCCCCACACCAGCCACCCCTGTCGAGAGTGAGCTTGGTCAGGGGCATGGCCTTCCCCATGAGAGGACGCGCAGCCAGGGCTCAGGGCGTTGGCATTCGGGAGCGTTCCAGCACCGGGCAGCTGGTCGCCGGCATCTGCACCTGGCTGTGTGAGGAGGCTCGGGGTGCTTAGAGCCTTCACCGGCGTCAACAGAGCTTAGCTCAGCTTCAGCGTTGGACGGTTCACCTTCCTCAGATCCTGGCGCTGCGTGGGGCACCCTGCTAACTGTGTGTCGTTCCCCGAGGAACGTTCCCTGAGGCAGAGTGGTTCCCCGAGGCTGCCTGAGAACCTGCTTCCCACCCACCTTGAGCAAAGTGCACTGGGTTCTGTGGGCTCTGGGTGGACAGCTTGGTTCAGAGTGGCGACAGCGTCCTTAACAAATTCACTTAGCACACTTCACAGTGCTGGCTCTTTGAGGTCCCATTTGATCACCATTCTCTTTAAGACTACAGAGGGCTTGTGACACTTGTGGGTCAACAGATGCACAGCAAAGGTACGGCTCCTGATGTTTGTTTAAGTATTTTCTCAGGAAAAGAAATGTGTTGATGGGGCCCCAGAGTCCTCTGTGTGCCTCTGTGGGGTGATGCAGAGTTTCAGTGCCGATTTCCAAGCCCAGTGGCTTCGTGTCTTCTTTGCCCCCCTCGTTTCTCTCTTCCCCATCACCACGCCCCCTCTCCCTGCACTTATGAAAAGAACAAACACAAAACTTTCTAGACTCCTTTCCAGGAGCCCACATATGAGTGTTGCAATTTCAAAAATCATTTGATCAGAACTTCCAGGTGAAGTAAGGGGAGGCCTAGCTGGTGGCAGTCCTGCCGGTGACATCACCCAGAGTGAAAGCAGATCTTGAAATCAGTCATAGACCCACGGGTGTCTCAGCCTTATTTCTCTTCCTAGGGCGAGCCTGGAGAGCCAGGACCAAATGGGGGCCCTGGGAACCCTGGCCCCCGTGGGGAGACGGTAAGATCAAGATACGCTTGGGGACCATGCTGTCTCAGAGTCTTTGCTGAAAGGTTCAGGAAATGAGGAGATAGGACCCTGCTCTGGGTCGGCACTTTGTCCTTGCAAATTGGGGTGGGTTCCAGATAAAGAAAGCTCAAACGCTGCTGCTTATAATGTTTGGGGCCCTTGTGGCACAGTGGTTAATCACTTGGCTGCCAACCCAAAGGACAGCAGTTCAAACCCATCAGTTGCTCAGTGGGAGAAAGATGGGGGCTGTCTGCTTCTGTAAAGATGACAGCCTTTGAAACCATACTGGGCAGTTCCACTCTGTCCTACAGGCTTGCTATGAATAAACCGACTCAATGGCAAGGTTTTTATTACTATTTATTTATTGTTTGGTAGTATTGAGGATATGATTGTAAGCTGCAAAACATGCTGCTTCTGAACAGCTCATGAGTTTCGAAATAAGCTTCATTTCGTGGTGGTGGTGGGTAGTGGGTAGTGGTTTTTTCCCCTTTATTTTTCTTAATAAGTGGATGGGGTGGTTTGCTGAAGTGTGATCCATCTTCATCTGGGGCCTTGCAAAGCAAACCCAACCCCGACAGACTGTCCCCGAAGAGAAATGAATGCCATTGGGTTAAAATGAATTTGACTTGCTAAGGTTTCAGTCCAGCTTGGAACAATTTCTTTAGAAGGAAACATTCAAGTCACAGAAACAATTCCCTTGAAAATTCGTTTTAAACATGTTGTTTAAAAATCCTCCAATTTCTCAGTAATCCTGTAGTGTGCATTTCTAAGAAAGAGACACGGACAGTGCACAGAGACTGTGGTGAGAATGGCTCATCACACCCAAAACTATAGCAACAGACCACGTGGAGCTGACGGCTCTGAAAGCAAAGCTTTGAAGTGTTTTTCTTGGGTTCAACTTCTCAGCAGCAAACTAAAGATTGAAAAATCTGTTTCTTTTACTTTTAGTTTTAGATACCCAGGATCAAATGTGTGCTCCTCAGTGGTCAAATAACTAAAACCAAACCCACTGCCGTGGAGACAATTCCGACCCACAGCGCCCCTACAGGACAGAGTAGAACTGCAGCAAGGGTCTCCAAGGCTGTCAATCTTCACAGAAGCAAAGCCCAAACCACACCCACTGCCTGGAGTCCATTCCGACACACAGCGCCCCTAGAGGACAGAGTGGAACTGCCCACAGGGTCTCCAAGGCTGTCAATTTCTGCAGAAGCAAAGCCCAAACCACACCCACTGCCCTGGAGTCCATTCTGACCCACAGCGCCCCTAGAGGACAGAGTGGAACTGCCCACAGGGTCTCCAAGGCTGTCA